AGGGGTTAAATGAGGGAATGGAATTGGTTTCGTTTTCAGTCACCTGACCGTCTGTTTTACTAGCACTGAGAGTGTGGGAGAAGGGTGAGAGAGGGTTAATGAGGCATTTGGGTGCACGCTGGTGGAGGGAGAGCGGGGTGGTTAAAGGAGTCCTATGGAAAGTCCAGGGAAGGGGCGAGAGAGTGTCACGTTCACGGAGCTTGTGAAGGAAGAGAACGAGCGCGGGTGACGAGTCCTTGCACGCTCCGGGAGTTCGCTCGAGGGGGTTACCGGAGGAAGTGCATTAAAGAGAACGAGGGACGGAGTCACAATGGAGTACCAGTTGCCGGTCAAGGTGGAGGGGAGCGCCGGTGTTAAGAGGGGAGGGTGGTGTAAACGGTTAGGTGGGTGGTGACTGATATAACCGGTTAGGACGGTGGGTAGATCATATAGCGTGCCATCTTTGAGGGAGACCTAATGCCCTCCCTGCCCTCCCGGGGTACCCTTCTTTCTTCCTGTCCTCTCAATCCCCTCTCGGAGCTACTCTTAGGTCTTGTCTTGTCCTGAAAGGGTGCCGTTCCCATTTCTTGCGCGGAAACCTGTGTCCCACAGGCAACCATGACCCGGTCCGCTATGGAGTGTTTTGGTCATATTGACCCCGTGAGGCGGAGCCTTAATTCCAGCGCATGAGGCTTTGGGTTTTAAAAATGGTGTGGGGTCATAGAGGTGTCCTGATACTCAGAGGAAAGTTTCCTGAGTTAAAGAGTGTGTCCTAATTGGTGAGGTGTCCGCAAAGAAAACGTATGTCCTGGTGAACCTTTTGAATTAGCCTACTGGGAATGCTTGTTACCTGACACGCCGTCGTCCGGGTGGTTACTGGTTGTGTCTGAGTGGCGTGACAATTGGCACTGATTCATTCCACCTGTCTGGGGGGGATTGTCGCGTTGTTGGTGAGAAAGTGGAGCCTTGGGTCAAGCAGACATACCTGGTGGTGAATGCTGTTTCCGTTGTGTGGGTGATAATACGTCACGTCCGGTTCCAGGGGGGGGGCTGAGGGGGGTCTTAAGCAACGAGGACCACGTATATTTCAGGACGTCCTGACAAACTAGAACCTGGTCCTGAAATAGAATGCAGAACACCCTTAATTAGACGTTCATTGTAAATCAGGGGACATGATTGTTAGGAGCGTCCTAAACTTACCGCTGTCCCTGAAAGCGAAATGCAGAACCCTCTATTTCGACGTGCATTGTCAGCGACCTTGAAAATTTTGAGGTCGTGGGCCTAGTGCTGTGAACAGGACAGACCTGTCCTGAAAGAGAATTCAGACACCTCTCCATTGTGTGTCTTAATACACCGTATGAACTGGTATGTGGTTAATTAGGTAGCTGGGTCCCTGAAAACACCTGGTTTGACGGAGGAATGTACATACGTAGGATAATAGGCAATATGGGATTCCGCCTATGCCCTTTGAGCAACTGTGGTAGGTTGTATGAGAAGTCGTGGCACGTTACCTGGGGGGGAGGGCGGGGGGCGGTCGCAGCATAACCTAGTTTAACTCAAACAAAAAGTTTGCTGTAAAAGGCTTTCCGCATAACAGACTCAGCAATCACGACTAATTACGGTAGTACTGTAGTAGTATAGGGGGGATGTGGGCACGGTACCGGGTACATCGAGAGCGCCTTCACAGAAGGGTTTAAAACCGCTGTGCCATAACTCACGAGAATTTTAAAACCCTGTCCTCACACTCACAGAAGGTTTAACCCTGTCTCTCGATAGCTCCAGAAGTTTTAACCTTGTCGTCTCAGTTACGCCCAGAAGTTTTACCCCTGTCCTCACAGTGTCGACAGAATTTAAACCTGGTCCTCCACCTAACAAGAAGTTAATAACCCTTTCCTCACACTCACAGATCACCAGAATTCTTGGCGTGGACGAGACAAACGGCCCTCGTGTCCATCTCTCTGAAGAGAGAGAAAGTTCCGGAAGATTTTCAAGAGTTCTTGATATCTCCCTGGACAGGACCGCGATAGCCACGCCCCCAACACCATTATAGGGTTAGATCAGTAGAGGTCCTCGCGAGGGTGAGTGTGAAGAGAGGGGTAGAGAGGAGGGTTGAATCGGGACTAATTAAAGTGCTCGTATCACTTTGTTGAGTCGGAATTTTCCGTCTGTAAAAACTAAGTGGCCGCCAAGCATCGTAAACATGGACCCGTCAGGGATTTCGATCAGGGGGGGGGACATTTTGTCTACGGTCTAAATGGTTTGTAATTGACACCTCAATGTCCTTTCTTTAGTAGGCTACCGTTATTGGCGAGCGAAGCGTTTCCCACGGCGGGGTTCCTGTGAAAATTGTGGCAAGTGGGTATTTCAATAGTGAGTTACAGCACTAGGGGGGAGAAACTTTGGGGACCCTAACCGAACTCTTAACGGCACATATCTCAAGGTTAGGTAAATCAGGGGAATGTAGAGTAGGCTGTATAGGTAAATTTATGTAGAAATAGTATGAGTATGTGTCAAGCATGGGAGGGCGGGCGTTGAGGGGGAGGTACTGAGTGGGAAATCAAATAACAGAAGAGTCCCGTGTCCGAGGCGGAACCAAGACACAATAAAGAGACGAGCAAGGATGGGCTAAAATCCCCCTCGTAAGGTCATCACTGATTAACATACAGGTCAGGGGGACTTCGCCAAACGTGTCACGGGTGGATTATGAGAGGAGTCGGGGGGGAAGGGCAAACAGAGAAGAAGGTGTATGTGGTTTTTAAAAACGACACTGAGGCCAAATTCAAATTGTGGGGTAAATGAATAGCATGAGTGTGTTGTATGAAATTATGAATTACAGTACAAGTGTGCAGAATGCTGTACGCTTGTCTGGTGTACGTGCAACGATTTGTGGTTGATATCCCTAGGGCAAACACACATGGGTAGTGAACGCCTATGCTTCAGACACGGAGGATTAAGATCATGGGCATCAAGATAAAATCCCCCAGTACATAGCAATTCTACCAGTCGGTTGCGGAAATCAGGGATATCCAACCTGAGTAATCGTGTCATTGGTCCACACAATAAGAACTAAAGAAAGAAAAGAAAACAAAAAAAGAAGGGGCACGGTGCCCTAGCACAAGTAGCATCACAAAAAAAAACTTTGTAATCTCTGCTACAAACAAGCTGGAAACAAACTCTTGACACTATATTAATGTGCAATGTCATCGACGCGGGTACTCACGTCTCGGTGTAACGAAGTTACAGTGAAGACTGCTAAATGTAGGGATCATGTTTTCAAGATTGGCAAAAAACAGTTTGAATCAGGATATCAATTACTTTCAATCACGACTTGCGTCAACTCTGATCAATTCACACACTCAGTTATTCAGGTGAGTTAATGCCGACTGAAGCTACGAACCAGGAACTCAACAACATAATAACAGAAAGGTCGGCGTCCCTGTACTAGAAAGCAATCGGTCACGATCCAACGAGAGGGCAGATGGGTACAAAAAAACAACGAGAGTGGAAGGTCCAAAAACTCTGGAGATTTCTGCAGCGTTAAGAGACAAAGTGGTGACCATAGAAAGGATTTCACAAGTATCGGGCCCAGCTGGACAACAAGTGCTGATGACACCGAGGCGGGTAAACGACACATGCGTAATACAGCAAGTGGTGAATCAGGTGGTCCCCGAGTCATGTTAAAACAGCCATGTGTCTCCGCTAAACCTTCCTCACAACTAGAAAGAACCGGATCCAATACTGGGTACCCAACATGTCGTGAGGAGGGGGGAAAATCCCCTGTTTTTAGAACGGTTTTGTTATAAAACCGGGTTTAGAAGCACAAGTTAATTTAACTGCTGTGCTACACTAAATATGGATCTTGTTTTTAAGACCAGGAACGACGGGGTTTAACGGGTAAATCCGCGTAAAATACATGTAAGTAGTGTACTTAGTATAGAAATAGGGAATATTGGGTGACAGTGAATTACCTAGCTAATCAGCGTGTATGGGGCTTAATGTAATAGGGGTAAGGTTGAATAAGTAACATACATCGGTGGATAACCTCCTTCTCTGCTGTCCTTATATAACGTAGTTGAAGTCACATGCGAAAGTTTATAAAAAACTTGGGTTTTGGTGAAAAGACAAAATGTTGGTGGGCTTTGGTTAAAAGATGACTGGTTGACTGTACTGAATGTGCACGATTTTAAATCGTGGATTGGAAACCAAATCAATTGTATTGTCCTCCTCCCCTAGCTCGCATAGCCCCCTCCATCCCATACACCCCCAGCTCATAATGATAAAGCGTCAGCACAAAAAAAAAAATGTGGCAACGAACATATGTATAATTGGGGGGGTGATCCACAGAGTGATACTTCCATGAGCCGGGCTGCATACCGTATCTCAAGGCAAAGGAGCCACACATGAAAAGGCATCCACGCCGAACAACACTAAATCGCAACAGCATCTTCGTCGTTCTGTCAGAGTCGTGAGCACTAAGGACCCTGCCCAAACGATTACACCAAATAACCGGTCAAAGAAGGGAGGGAAAAAAAGAGAAAGGGAGGGGGGGGAAAAAGAAAAAGAAAGAGGAGGGAGAAGAAGGTAATAGAAAGAAAGGATGAAAAAAAAAAAGGAAAAGAGAAAAGAAAAAAAAAGGAAGAAGGAAAAAAGAGAAAGAAAAGCAAATAGAAGTAGGAGTAAAAGACGGAGGAGATAAACAAAGGAAAAAATCGTTTCTATTACATATAACAGGGACGGTGCGTGGTTTACTCGGCAAACACATCATTCAACAATGTGGTGAGTGTCCAGCTGTTATTTTTGTTTCTGCTTTAAAATTGAAATATCTTTATAAGGCACCACTCATATTTACTGGGGCGTGATGCATCCCTATTCCATATAGGAATGAGCTGCGACATCCAATGGGATAATGGTTGTATCACGCCTTTCCTGCGTCAAACCGCTAATTAAATAAATTTGGTGGAATTTAACCCTTATACTTTCCACAGTTGAATTTTTGGATACAGTATTATAACACCATATGTACAAGCTCGCGACCGGCAGTGATCTACAGGGTTCCCCAACAGTGCCAGGATATAACGCCAATAAACGGAAATGCGGATCCCAACGGGAGGAAACGCAATTCCGAGGGTTGGTCTTCGACAAGAACGGAACATTCCGGGAATTTTTCCTCACGAAACGTTAGGGTGTCCTGTTATGTACACTATGTCATTACTTGCTTTTCAGACATCCTGAACCTCATTATTAGGACACCCTGTAAAGTTTTTTAGTGTCATTTTTGTACAAAAACTTGTCAATTGACAAATTTTATCGCTTTTCTCTTCATTTCCTTTCTTTCTCTGTCCATCTTCTCCATATCCAGTGATCAATGCCTGCACGCCAGCTTGAGGAGCGGAGAAGTTTGCTACCATGGCAACCAGAACTCGTCGACAGTACCTGTTGGACTGTGTGAGAACAGTTTACCCGTATCACATTGACCAGCCAACACCTCGTCTGTGTAGGTGAGTGAAGAGGAGATGGTGATGAGAGAGAGAGAGAGTGGTTAATATGTGGAAAGAAAAGAGAGAGAAAGAAGGGGGATGATAGGAGAGAGAGGAGAGGGGTACAGTGGGACGCGAAGGGACCCTCCGAGATAGGGACGACCTCTCTACAAAGGACACTTGTTTTCACCCCACGCTAATACTTTATGTATATTATTTGACCCCCGAGATAGGGACGACCTCTACAAGACAGAATCGTGTGGCCCATAGTGTCCCTTGTTCGGAGGTATTTAGAACTATATACAGTATCGTGCACTGCAGGCCACGAGCAGCCTGATACAACCACTTCAGATTACAAGCTTGAAAATATAAGTACTAAGTGCAAACCTCGGCACTCTATAACCTGAACCAAATGAGAATACCTTTATTCTGAGGTCCTTCATAAGTCTCAATGTACATGGCAGGAGGGAGAGCATTATACGCACTACATGTTGTGTCTAACTGACCACCCACTACAGAACCAGTATGTTAGCTTTAACTGTTGCTATTTTAGAAGTTTCTATATTACCCGCTCTCTCCGCCAGGCTTGCTGTCCAAGAACTGGGGAGGGAAGAGAAGGAGAAGCCGCACCTCCAGGCATCGCTGGTCTTCACTCCAGGCGCTCTGGTCTGGAACGTGGCCATCGTCACCAGGAGGAAAGTAATTTGTGCGAACTCTGACCCATGATCTGAACGGTGCTTGCAGCTCTGTACCTTTAGAAACATTATATACCTTACACCTTACTGCTCTGTATTAGTAATTCATATTACTTTTGCCATAGTTTTGTTGGTGTGCTCTTTCTACAATATTGTGTACAGTGATCCCCTCTCTAGGACACCCTGAAATGAGGACACCTCTCTAATAAGGACACCTTTTCCTTCCCAAGAACATGCAGCAATTTGTAACCCTGAAATGAGGACACCTCTCTATATCAGTACAGCATTCAAAAGTTCTGCATGCAACTCACCCCGAATGAGGACACCTACTAACATAGACACTTCTTCTGTTCCACTGGTCTCCTAAATATTTATCCCCCTTCTCCTCTCCCCCTCTCCCCTCCCCCTCTCATATCTCAGCTCTCCCATTCTCGGAGAGCACGACACGGCGATGGAGTGCATGTTGGTATCACTGCGGACCTCATGGCCTTCGTCTACAACCAACACTAGGAGAATGTTCTCCACATACTACAGACGTCTCCGGATTGGTCCAGACGGAGAGGTGGGCGTGCTTTGGGTGTGGTTATATTGTAGCTCTAAAAATGCCACCTCTCTAATGTAACTTCAATCCGGTGGTAACGTTATGTACATCAACTTCATCAGATACCATGGACAGAATCTAGTGAAATTCCTTTATTTTAAAGGTTGAATGAACTGTTCTTGAGGAAAGAAAAGGTATCCTTATTAGAGAGGTGTCCTTATTAGAGAGATGTCCTTATTAGAGAGGTGACCTCATTTCAGGGATGTCCTTATTAGAGAGGTTCCTTATTTCAGGGATGTCTTATTAAGAGTGTCCTCATTTCAGGGATGTCCTATTAGAGAGTGACTCATTTCAGGATGCCTTATTAGAGAGTGACCTCATTTCAGGGATGTCCTTATTAGAGAGGTGACCTCATTTCAGGGATGTCCTTATTAGAGAGGTGTCCTCATTTCAGGGATGTCCTTATTATAGAGGTGTCCTCATTTCAGGGATGTCCTTATTAGAGAGGTGTCCTCATTTCAGGGGTGTCCTTATTAGAGAGGTGTCCTCATTTCAGGGGTGTCCTTAGAGCAGTGTTCCACTATATTGTACACTCGTAGGAGGCCATAAATAGGGAACGTAAAGATGGGTTTTCATACAATATTTCAGAATAAACGTGTCCTTATTTTTTCTCTAAACTCGTAATTTCAGAATAAACCTGTTCTACGACGGAACATACTGCCTAAGTATTGAGGTATACGATCAAGACGACGCCAGGGAAATTACTTCCCGTTTACTGACCCTTGCACCCTGCGTCACCGCATCACACGAGGTCAGGTGATCCACATTACATCATCATCATGGCAACAACATCATTACGTCATAATGATGTCATACCCCGTAGGCCACGTTGATGGAGTTCCAGCGAACGCAGGGGGTGCTGCTGGGATTCAGTATCAACGAAGTTTGCGAAGTTTTGAGGGTTTCTGGACAAGCCAAGCAGATTGGACTCCAGATTAAAGCAAGGATACTGCAAGTAAATACATACGTACATGTTATATCGCTCGGCTGGGTTTTAAATATTCGCGGGGGCCCCCTATCCCCCAATTGTACAGGTTGAGGATAAACTGGTATGCAACCACAAGCATTCTCAGATCATCGACATATTGACCGACAGGAAGAAAACCAACATGAAGGCCTTCGTCATTCCTCCTGTTCCACAGACTCAGAGGTAGCGTACTACAGTTTTGCACACTTGTTTTTTTACCCGTACGTATGGGAAGGTTGTATCTAACGTCCTTTAGACGCCTTAGGGCCGTTGAGTTGTGGCATTCTGTACATAATATCTATAGCTAAGAGTCTAGAGGCCTCAAATGTGCATTCTGCGAGCTACATTCTCTCTCCCTTTCTCTCTCTCTCTCTCTCCTCCTTCCCTTTCTCTCTCTCTCTCTCTCTCTTAGACCTCTGCTGTACTACCCGCCAGTCAACTGGGCAGAGGTGTGGTCAAACCGTCCCACGCACATGAACGGAGAGTCCGACGACCAGACAACGTCGTCGTCACAGAACGGAACGGAGCCGATGGAAACGGAAACCCTCTCCGTCAGTACGGCAGGAGGAGGGGGAGGAGGTGTGGTGTTGAGAGATCGTGGGAAAAGAAGAGCAGCTACCATACATGGCTCCAGACCACAGAGGTCCTCCTACCACGAGGCTGTTAGAACTGATGAGGTAATGAATACTAGTAGGCGAATGCATGGCATTTTTGGCGAGCGGAAGCGAGCTTACAATTGGGGTCTAATCGTATGAGTCACTCTTGTGTGTGCACAAAACAGTGAGATACATTGCACAGGACCAAGTAGGCCGAAACGACCCGAGCGCAGTAGACAATTCGAGTCGAGTCAAAAACAGTCAGACGACAGCGCGAATTAGGCATAATCCGGCAATCTGATTGGTCTTGCAGGAATAGGGAACAAGTGGCAATGTAGAAAAATCTCTCGCTGGACTGTGCAGCAATTGTCGATAGCTTCGGAGGTGTTCGAGCCTGTCGTGTTGCGTTTCCCCTGATTCCGCTCGATTCAGGCAGCATATGAAAATTTTGAAATCCCTTTCGGATAAAAAGAAGCGCGTAATGCTGGAGCATGTGCAGTTGGACGACGTACGGTGACTATATATATATATAGAAAAATCGCGCCGTTCGGACCACTAGGTTAGCTCGCTTCCGCTCGCCAATTAGTACAGGAGGTCCTCTTACCACGAGGCTGTTAGAACTGATGAGGTAATGATAATAATAATTTTAGAGTGCCGAAGTGACGAAATAACAATTGAAGTATTAGAATGTAATTAGGTTTCATTTTCAACCATTGCCACATTCCCTTTAAATAATGATTAAGCAATAAATGAGGGTTATATAATTTTAGAGTGATGAAAATTTTTTTTACCAATCAGATCAGTCCCACAAGATGAGATGCCGTTTGATGATGACGAACCGATATATGACAGACTCCGCATTAACGAGGGGGGCGGAGTCTCACCGACCAACCTGCCACGCCCACAGACACTGAGGGCACGCAGCCCGAAACCGGGACGAGGGGACAGCAGTGGGTTCACGAGGGTTCGCCGGCCGCAGGGAGGAGGAAGAGAACATGTGCCAGCTCAGCAGATTGCCGATAATATTCGGGCTACTGAGAGAGCTCTGTCAGGTGAGGGGTGTCCTGATTAGTTAGGTGTCCTGATTAATGAAGTGTCCTGATCTGCAAGTGCATTACTTATGTACATAACTGTTCCTATTATTCACTTATTGTTGGAGTGCGAACTTAGTGCAAAATTACAACAATTTTAAATGCATTAGTCTACAAAATAAAAAGTATATACAACAGAAAGATCAACCAATTAGAGTAGGCGAGCTAAAATAGTTCGTTTGTTCCTCTCCTCAGCTGGCCCATCTCCTGAACCCCTGGAATACAGATTGGACTACTATACCTCCCACGTCCCCACACACGTCTCATCTTCAACCTTTCTTCCCGACTCTCAGCCTCACACCATCGCCCCTCTCTCCTCCCTCATGAGAAGGTTAGAACTGAGCTCTCAGTTGGTAGAGCCCTCTCTAGAACACAGAGTGCTCTGCCTTGCTCTGTATGAGTGATTCAGCCCAGCCAGCTGAGCTGCCTCAGTTGGTAGAGCCCTCTCTAGAACACAGAGTGCTCTGCCTTGCTCTGTATGTGCCTCAATAGCTCTAGTTTGCTTAAACCCTCTCAAAAACACGACCTCCAGCGTAACTTTAACCCCTCTCTCACAGGACAAGTGACAAGGTTTTGATAGAGATACTGCCGAAGAGTCCGACCAGCAGTACAGCTGGATGTCCTCCAACTCCGGGCAGTGTCCAGGAACTGGCCAAGAAATTCTCCTTCAGTTCGCCTCCACCAAGTCAGTCCTTTACAATTCTGTGCTTTGTGTCTGTTTACCGACCTGTTTGTTCTGTTTTTGCGTACGTATGTACAATTGTGTTTGTGTATGCTTGGTAGGCAGTTTGTCATGTTTTTGCTTGTTTGTTGTTGTGTTATTGTTTACACCCATTTGTGTGGCATGTGTATTACTTGTTTGTTGCTGTTTGTTGTTTACACCCATTTGTGTGCATTGTTTACTTGTTTGTTGTGTTTGTTGTTTACACCCATTTGTGTGCATTGTTTACTTGTTTGTTGCTGTTTGTTGTTTACACCCATTTGTGTGCAGTTGTTTACTTGTTTGTTGCTGTTTGTTGTTTACACCCATTGTGTACGTTGTTTACTTGTTTGTTGTTGTGTTGTTGTTTACACCCATTTGTGTGCATTGTTTACTTGTTTGTTGCTGTTTGTTGTTTACACCCATTTGTGTGCGTTGTTACTTGTTTATTTGTTTACTGTAGGTAACAAATCGTCTCCATCGCGAACGTCGGGGGGAAACATCTCAGTGGGTGTGGCCAAGGTACAAGCCACGCCCATGAAGGCTACAGTTGCAGCGTCAGAAATGACTCGTTCCGGTATCCCGGTTCCAGTTCAGTCACGTCAGCCAACATCCACCAAATGTAAGTCCTTTGTACACATTTCATAAGTATTGTGACAAAATAATTATCAGATTTTTCAACTTTTTGTGGATACATGACTCTTAAAATAATAAGTACCAAAAGTGTAGTTTTGCCAACCAAGATGTTACTACTTCTCACACTTAATTTTGTTTTAAAACCCTTCCCCCACCACATTTTAATTTATATATTAATTAACCCTTTCCCCGCCACATTTTATTAACCCTTTTCCCACCACATTTTAATCATTATGTTAACCCTTTCCCCACTGCATTCTCCCTCCCACAGTCTCCCCTAATCGCGAGCCGACTGACGTCCAAATGAGAGTGAATAAGCTGCGATCGCCGAAAATGAGACCAGCCTCGTGGGACGCATCTCTCATCTACGATGGTGGGAAAGACGACAGGAGGACGGGAAGACCGTCCAGTAGAGAGGAGGGAGAGGGCGGACAGTTTAGTCGGAAGGAAAACGGACGGTTGCCAGTCAGGAAGAAGCCGGGACTGACGACTGAGGAGGGTGAGAGGGAGAGAGAAGAGAGCGAGGGTAAGTAGACCGAGAGAAATTGAAATTGAAAGAGAAAGGGTTGACAGGGGATTAGAATTGTTTAGAAAGGAGGTGACCAAATATTGACTAGTTTTGAACTAACAATAATTTGTTCATCATTAACATTATGTACAGATAGAATACGTAGTTTGTTTCTCTTCCTCCGCAGAACCAATTCCAACTTCGACAACTGGGAAAGAGCTTTCGCAAGAGGTATGTCATAGTTGCACCTACGTATTATATAGGTGTGAATAGTAACAGCCTATGCTGTATATTATTGTGATTAAAATTACATTGGATTTACAACCTCAAAATAGCACATGGACTTCAACCATGAAAAAACATGTTTATAGCATACTAGCTCAGAGGAAAAGAAAGAACCTCCCCCACCCAAGCACACAAAACACAGACAATAACATACCCAAGCGTACAAAAACACAGACAATAACATATAAACAGAAAGAAAGAGGCAGGACCCTCTCGTTTATGGTCTAGTTTTAGAGGCTCGAAGATTTACAACCTGCGCAGTACCACTGTTTCGCTTATGTATAACTCAACTTCCTTCCCTCCTTCCTTCCCTTCCTCCTTCCCTCCCTCCCCATTTCACTAAGCTTCGAGGACCCTGCATAGTACATACTTTTACAGCTCTTTCATAACTTAACCCTTTTCCTCTCTCCCCATTTCACTAAGCTTCGAGGACCCTGCATAGTATATACATACATACATCTCTTTCATAATTAACCCTTTTCTTCCTGCCCACTTTTAACAAAGCTTCGAGGACCCTGCATAGTATATACATACATACATCTCTTTCATAACTTAACCCTTTTCCTCTCTCCCCATTTCACTAAGCTTCGAGGACCCTGCATAGTATTATACATACATACATCTCTTTCATAACTTAACCCTTTTCCTCTCTCCCCATTTCACTAAGCTTCGAGGACCCTGCATAGTATTATACATACATACATCTCTTTCATAACTTAACCTTTTCTTCTCTCCCCATTTCACTAAGCTTCGAGGACCCTGCATAGTATATACATACATACATCTCTTTCATAACTTAACCCTTTCCTCTCTCCCCATTTCACTAAGCTTCGAGGACCCTGCATAGTATTATACATACATACAGCTCTTTCATAACTTAACCCTTTTCCTCCTGCCCCATTTCCCCAGGAGCTGGTGTCGGTGAGAGAGAGGGCGCAGCGATGGGAGGCGAGAGGGTCAGAGCTCCCATCCTTCTTCACTCTCCCCAAGTCGTTCAGGACCAAAGGGGGCAGCGGAGCTGGGCGACCTCAGTCACCCAACTCTCCCATTTCTCCCAGTGCAGGTGGGGGCGGGGAAAGTGGGCGGGGCTAGGGGTTACACTAGACAATGGTAAAACAATGGAATACGAAAAACAAAAATGTGTACTTTGGTGAGAGGTAAATTCTGAAGTAATGGCCGGAGATAGGAACAATGTACTTGATACTGAGCTGATTCGTTGACGGAAGATGTTAACTTTTACCCTAGCCCAACATTTTACTCTCTCTCTCTCTCTCTCTTTCCCTGCAGGATCTAGAATTCCGGCCCCACGATCCTCGGGGTCACAAACTGCACTCACACAGTCAATGAAGGCTCGCAGCATGTACTCCAAACAGAGCACACCTCCCATTCAGGTGAGCTTTGTTTAGAAACTTCAACTGCACCATGTATATATGTAAATAGTATTTCTAGTATCATAGACACAATTTTTCTAGGTGCAACATTTTTGTAGCTATTCAAGAACTTTCCATATACTTGTGGGAGTGAAAATCATTATCCTCAAAATTTTTTTGTCTGCAAAATTTGTGGGACAAAAGTTTTAACTCTCACCTCACTACATTAGGAGGAATCGGAGGCACAAGAAGAGCATATTTACAATCGTCTGTCAGAGAAGATGCCGTCAGCTACAGAGTCTGACAAGAGAGACCGCACCTCCTCTCCCCTCGCTGGGTCGTATCCGGGCGGGAGAGTGGGCGGAGTCTCGCAACCGAGGGGCGGGGCTAGGGTAATTGGCACCAGGTCACTGTCTAGTTCACAGGTGAGTGGATTTTGTGACATGTATGTATACGGTGGAACCCCTCTAATCTGGACACCAATGGGACAGAAGAAAGTGTCCCCATATTAGTGAGGTGTCCTGAGCATTATACAGTGGAACCCCTCTAATCTGGACACCAATGGGACAGAAGAAAGTGTCCCCATATTAGTGAGGTGTCCTTACATACGTTATATAGATTCCTGAGGTAGACCCGCAAAATTTGGGGCGAGATAGGGGGAAAGACAGTTTTAGGAGGAAAATGGAAATTTGGAATGTAATCGAGCAAATTGTGAGCATTTTGAGCAAGATAGAGGAAAGATGGAATTAGCGTCACAGTTTTCTCTCCTCTTGCTTGTTGTGTCAGGTACTTGTCTCAAGAGATAGGCAGTCATCTCCACAGAGACAATTGTCTCCACAGCGACCAACGTCACCACAGCAACAAACATCACCACAGCGACAAATGTCTCCAGTTGGACACAGAGAGAGGCAGATGTCTCCCACGGGCGGCCAGAGGCAATTCTCCCCGGCAGGTCCGAGGACAGTCGGCGGGCAGCAGCGAGGCGAGAGGCAGACGTCACCTTTGGGACAGAGGCAGATGTCTCCTGTCAGAGAAACCAGCCCCACTATGAGGACAAGTGAGTCAAATTGTGAACAAAATTCTGCACCTTGCGTTCAAGCTAGAGCACTATAATGTTTTCTGGACTACTAAACCCTTGTTCACGTGATAATATGTATAGTACTCCGTGACACTGAACTACCAAACAGGGTTCGCACTCATTTTGACGCATGCTAAAGTATAGATCACAGCAAGTATTGCTAAATTTGAAGGCTTTCAATTATTTCGTATCTCCCTCTCTCTCCCTCTCTACAGCTGTCCTCTCAGCCAGAAGAAGCCCCTCCCCCACCTCGGGTGGCACCGGCTCAAAGATCCCCACCCCCTCCTCCAGAAAATCAACCAGGAGCCCTCCGCCCCCCGCAGCCGGGGGGAAAATTTCGTCTCGGCCCCCCAGGGGGAATCCCCTCGATGACGTCGTGCTAGAATCGGCATCTGGACTAAAATCCCTCAGTCTCTCGGAGAACAGACAACTGTCGTCGAATAAAAAAGTTGAGAACTGGTTACGGCAGTCTTCCTCGGTTGCCACGACAACCCCCGTTGCCACAGAGATGTCGTTGCCCGGGAAACATGGCCCGACAAGAACAGAGCAATACAGGAAAAACTCCTACAGCAGAAATGTCGTCAAAACTGCAATGATTTGATTCCAGAATATCCGCAATTTCTTCCTCTCATTATTATCAAGAACACATTATTATCGTGGTTAATTATTATATTCTCGTCCAAATAGAAATATAATTATAGACTCTCAGGCATTTTAATATTATACTCCTTGCTCACAGCACTTATACCATAACAATTCGTTTTATACTGGTCCATCGATGTGTGTTCAAACTTCTGCCTGGTTTTTGACGACGCCATTTTTTCGATGGTGCGCATGCGTAGGTAGGGGGTGCATTAATTAGAGTGAATAGCTCAGCAAAATCCTCGTGACACGCCTCCTTCCCAAAATAGTCGTCTAGAACTCCCTCCAGTTGAGTTGTGTAGTTGTCTTTTAGAATAACCTTGCGCTCTACTAAGCCCTGGTGTGCTCCAAGTCTGTGGAATTCGTAGTTTTTCTTGTTTTGTGGCCCATGGAGAAGCTTTGGTGTGTTGAGTAGCGATCAGCGAGAGAGACGAAATCAGAGATGGCCGTGGCTCAGTCTGGACTCGTGTGGCTGTGTCTGGTGTGTCTGTCCTGGTCGGCGGCAGTTCGCGGGAGCCCGCTTCCCGCGACCACTGGGGACAAAAACTCACCAAACAGTGCCAAAAGCGACCAAACTATACCACTCATAGAACTTAGTACAAGCTCAACCAAAGCCCGCCATGCCACGGGAGAGTATCAAATCGGACCACAGAATGACCACTCCGTGCCAAAAGCTACCAGAGAGTACCAAATCATACCACAAAACGACCACTCCGTGCCAAAAGACTTCAAACAAAGAGAAATCGGCACTTTAGCAACTTACACATCGCAAGACTCAACAGCAGTAACTACTGGCGTGGTTTCATAATGCAATGATACCTAAATATTCATGCACATTGGATTCACAGTGTCATCCACCTGGTTCTAATTACACCATTCCTTCCAATCTCGTTCGCTGCGACAACGTCACAGGGACGTGTGTCTGCAACGAATGCTTCTCTCTTTGGAACGACACGTGCTCCATGAAGAGGTGTCACCATTTCGACGAACCTAGCGGAGTTTGCGAGGACAACAAGAAGTCGCAGAAGACTCTGTTGGTATTGTCTGTGTTCCTTTCGTCCACTGGTGCTGCTAATTTCTACATCGGGCAAGAGGCTTTAGGTGAGTGAAGGCGAGAGAGAGAGAGAGAGAGAGCGTGTGTGCGTGCGTGCGTGAGTGTATAGCGAAACCTGGGACATCTTGAAGACATTTAAAGTGTCCTTTATTTAAGAGGCGTTCCTTATTCGGATATACGTAGATGCTATTCCTTTACTCCTCAGGGTATGCCCAGTTTGGCCTTCTTCTCTTGACCTTCATCGGCTGTTGTTGTATCTACTGCATAAAGAAGTGTTGTGTGGAGTGCTGCGCATTGTTTTCTGACGAGTGTGACTGCTACGATTGCTGTGAAGATTTCTGGATGTGTTGTCGTAAGGATTTTGATATTGACAATTAAGTAGCATCAGCCAACAGCCATTGGAAGTGTAGTGTTTTGAGCTCAATTGCCGTAGAAGTACACTTTATTTAAAAGTGGCACAACAATACTCTCACTGGCACATACACCAGGGCACAAAATAGCTTCTATATAATTATAGCTTTGCCTTTGCCTTAACTTAAAACACACACTATTTCTCTTTATATCTCTCCAATTGTTTTTTTAATTTTATTCTTCCCTCTTCCTTACCACAGATGACTTCTTTGCCTCCCTGTGCGTCATGTTCTGTGCGATCACAGTCTTTCTGTGGTGCATTGCTATAGTTGCCTGGTGGGCAGCCGACATCGCTGGTTTTGTTGAAAACAAAAAAATCGACGGAAACGGATGTCCCCTCAATAATGACTTATAAAACAACCATCCACTGTCTCAATTATGTGAGTATAAGCATCCATTATGTACTGAAGGTTTTGATGTGCAAAATGTGAGCTTTTGTATGACAAAAGCTATATAGGCCATAGTTATACTTTACTCTTGTATACTAATACTTATACTGGTTGTCTGCTTTGTCCATAGGTTATAGTCTCCATGTTTAGCTCAGTCTCCTAACTAACTATGCAGCAAATAATTAGTTGTCTTAACCGCACCCTACACCACATAGACACTATACAAACTTGTGTTTTTAACGACCAGACTTTCCATGCCTGCATAATACACAAAGTCCAGTTTATATGAACTACTTATGCTATGTGTTTATAGCCACCACAGCTTGTACCGATACCTTTGTATAATGGACAGTCTGCATGCTTATGTCTTTACATGTGGGTAACTTCCCTGGCAATAATACTGTCTTGGCAGCAAAGTTTGCCAACTCTGTATTCAATGGATAATGAACAAAAATTCTCACTCCCCCTCCTCTCTCTCTCTCTCTCTCTCTTCTTCTTCTTCCATTTCTCTTACTCTCTTATATACCTCTTTGCTGTAGGTTTTTACGCACAGAATGCACAGTGACTGAATTATAAGTAACTGAAGATTCAGAGTTTATATCACAATAAAGTGTGTCTTTGTATCTTTGTGTGTTTAGAATGACAGTATAAAAATGGTGACCTGAGGAATCCAGCTATAAGTCGTGTCGTAGTGGGCAGTTTTCGCCGTCAGTTCGCGTGTTTTGGACGAAAATTACGATGTCGGCTATCCACCACGCGAGGATTGTGGCGAGCGCTAGAACCGCTACGACTCCCGCCGTAACGGTGGAACAGAGCGCGCAGAACTTCTCCGTGTCTCGCCCCTTGTCGTCCAGAACGTAGCGCAGGACGCGACCGAAGACGCTGGCGATGATTAGACAGAGAAACAGCGCCAGTTGCGGGACGGCGTACTCGTAGCGAGCAACGTAGAAGTTGGCCGCACCGACGACGGAGACTAGCGCGGCGAGTATGACGGCCGTTCGCTGCGAACGGCGACGATCTTCGCAGCTTCCGTTGCTCGTAGAGAACGTCCAGCAAGGTGCATCCACGACGCAGGTCCCAGCCGACGAGTCGAAAACGAAACAATCGCGACACGCGCAGAGACCGTCCGAAGTGCAGTTGACGAGCGACGGAGGAACGCTAATTCCTCCCTGGCTGTAACCGGACGGGTAGCAGTCTTCAGGTTCCGTGCATTGTTGTTGTCCGGACGTGGAACTGAAGAGAAGAGAAGGCGCGAGAAACCAGAGAAGATACTGTACTCGCATTTTGCTTGGGCTCCGCGAACGTACGTTTCGGTGAATACGATTGTGCGCATGCGCATCCGACACTCACGATATCGACACAAGAATGGTGTTTGCCTGATTGGCGGCTTGGCCCATCGTGTTGTTATATTGTCTGGCGCCTACGTTTCCCGCCGCTGACCACCAAAAAACATTCGCAGCCGAGAAAGCGGGGCGTTACTGCAGTAGCTACGGCCCGGCTGCTAGAGATGGTCCAGATTGCATGCATGCAAAGCGCGCGCGTAGGTACAATTTACGCACTGCGCATGCGTAATAATAAGGGCCTTCCACATAAGCAGTTGTGCTATACCATGGCGGTGTGGTTTCTACTGACCGTGTTCGCGGGTCTCCTGGCAATGTGTTGGCTGCTATTTACGCGAAGACCCGTCGGCCGCGGGCCGAGGGCCGGCCGAGCGAGACGTCCGGCGCACGTAAGTGAACGCGTACGCACAAAACCCTGGCCCAACGCCTCCCCCGCACATTGACAGTAGCTAGCTAGCTATACGTATACATAAAGCTCCGAAAGGCTTCAAAGTTGAGTATAGAGTTACTTACATGTATGAACCGTTTGTCTAAGTGCTTAGCCGTATAGCAGTAGCAGGTTACTTAGTCGAGGGCCCCACCTTACGTGTGGGAGATAATTGTAGTGTATACCGTCTGTATGTCACGTGCTGCAGGACTTACTGAGTGATCCCAGTCTCATCACATACAATGTGAAGGACATCGACGTCCCGACACTCTCCGGAAAGTTATTTTCTTTTGTTGTGTGGCTCCACTTCACCAAATTCGGGCAAATCTTTCTTATCCCGCTGTTCATGAAAGGAGTCAAATTATTCAGATTTAGCGGGGAGTATATCCCGGAAAAACCGGTAATGGATTTTCGATCGCTTTGTCTTCCGCCGGCCCAAGAAGACTGTACTCAGGAAAATAAACTGTTGATTCAGCGACTTTTGGACGAGGTGGAAGAAGAGAGGGAGGGAGGAGAGGAAGGAAAAGGAGACGGTTTTCGATTTCCGACCGTGCAAGATTACTACAGCGCCTACAAGGGAGGGCGTTGCTCGCCAGTCGAGGTAGCAGACGCGATTCTCGAGGCAATAAAGAAGACAAATGCCATGAAGCCTCCGCTGCGAGCCATAGTCGATTTCCACGAGGCAACCGTCATGAAAATGGCAGAAGCCTCGGCAGACCGCTGGCAAGAGGGAAAACCCCTCTCTGTTGTTGACGGCGTGCCAGTCTCGATAAAGGCAGAGTTTCATACCGAACCCTACTTCTTTCGCTGTGGTTCACTTTTCCATCCGATTTTCACGGAGAATGTTCCGGAAGCGCACCTGGTGAAGAATTTCAAAGATGCCGGGGCGATTATAATAGGGTTGGCCAACATGCATGAGTTTGGCACGGGCGTTCTGGGCTCTAATCCAAACCGTTTCAACTTGACGGCGAGGAATCCTTACAATACTGGGTGTTTTGCGGGTGGCAGTTCTAGCGGATCTGCAGTTAGTGTGGCGGCCGGTCTCTGCCCCATCTCTCTCGGTGCAGACGCCGGCGGTTCAATTCGCACCCCGGCATCACTCTGCGGTCTGTTTGGTCTTAAACCGACCCTGGGACTACTAGACTGCAGTGGTGGTATGCCTTTCACCCCCTCTCTCTGTTCGCCAGGCCCTCTCTGTGCGTCCGCTCTCGATGCCATCATCGCAACGGACATCCTCTCGCGAAACTCGCAAGGCTCAAAACTCATCTCGCTTCGCGGTATCGGAGCTAGAAGTCTCGGCGGGCTAAAGATCGGCGTGTACCGCGACTACTTTAACCACTGCGACGACAACGTTAGAAAAACCTGCGAGGCTTCGCTGCAAGTTTTGGAGGATTTGGGAGCCGTGATCGTGGAAGTAAAAATCCCGGAAGTAGAAGAGATGAGAATTGCTCATGTGATTACAGCAATGAGCGAGTTTGTGAGCGGCCTGGCATGCGATGTTGACAAACACTTTGACCTTTTGAACTCCGAAACATCAATTTTTTTAGCTCCCGGTTTCCACATCTCAGCAGCAGACTACATCAATTCTCAGAAACAGCGGACGAGGGCAATTATTTTTCTGAAGAAAATCTTTGAAAGCGTCGACGTGATTGTCACGCCAACCACCGCTTGCGTTGCACCGAAAATCGATCCCGATGGTGTATCGCATGGAAAGTTGATGGGTGCAGAGTCTAGCAAACTCGTGCGCTACGCCGGGCTGGCTAATCTCGCCGGTAACCCCGCAATCAGCTGTCCGATTGGTGTCTCGTCAGACGAAGGCCTCCCTGTAGGGCTGCAGTTCATCGGGAAGTGGTTCGACGAAGCCACGCTACTGAGCGTCGCATGGGTGATGGAGAAATCAGGACAGTTCCCGGCTAGTAAACCCAGCGTTTTTTGCGATATTCTAAACTCTGCTTCGAAAAAGGATTGATGTGTATATCAATAAAATTGGTCTGATAGCTAATAATTTTATGTATGACCTAAAGGGAGTGAACTTTCTGTACAATTAATCTGTTCTATTACAACTTAACGTATGGGAGAAAAAGGCACCCGAGTGGTGTACTGTATTTTAAAAAAACAAAGAGCTCACTGCATCCTCCATAAGCAGTTAAACGTATATAGCACGTGCATTCTTTCTTGTTAAGTACTATTATATATAGTGTATGTATGAACATGTGATTGACTGGTAAAAGTCAATTGGCATGAAGGCGTGGCAGTTCCAAACATGTCTCTTGGGACTAATTAAAATTCCATACACTATATTATCATTACATCATGTACAATAGACTTTGCAATGTGTATAAAAAAAAACAAGCATAATAATTATGTCCCACTACTGGTGGTAGGAAAAACTAGATTGTAGCTATGTACAAGTTTGGAAGAGAAGTTAGAGGTTTTCTCTTAGCATGCATCCGTTGCCAGCATCTCTCTGGTTGGTGGCAAAGATGATGAGGTCGGCCAGCCACCACGCCCAGATGGCAACGAAGATAATCACCACGAGAACTGTTTCGAGCACAATCAGCGCCATGAAAAATATGCTACCTGTGTATTGGGTAATGGGAGAATTGATGATGAAAACAACTGCATAAGGTAAGAATGTGAAACTGCGTTCGAATTCCACCCACGGAAGTCTTTCTTTTTTCCTTGAAAAAGTGTTTTGACTTGTCGTTTGCTTGCATTTGCCCTTCTATGTACATCATTCTTGAAACATGCGTGCTTTTTTCTGAAAATTAATAACGATTTGCTGGCGCAATGCCTGTCCATGCTGGGTGCATAACCTATACAGGAAAATAACTACAAATTTGTTACACACGGTACATGTAGACTTACAACTTACAGTAGCGCCTTTAAAACTGATACACTATTTTCCTTCCTTGTTGTGCTGTTCTTATAATATACCTTTAACATCGTCTTTGGACATGCAGCAACCGAGGCAGCACGGGAGGTAGCAGGTGATGTAGGAGACAGCAAACATCAGAATCAATAGAAAAAGTTGTCCACCACCTGCAGGAAATACACTCACTCACACACTACTTCTCCCATAATGTATATACACACGTGCAGAATCACGTATATGGGGCAGAACCAACGATCCTTTATAGAGAGGTGTTCGGAGGGTCCTTTTTCAGAGGGTTCGCACTTTTCGCGTTTCCTTGTTTCTTTACGCTCTCTCTTTCTTTCTTTCTGACTCTCTCCTTCCTCTCTTTCTCTCTTTCTCTCTTTCCAACTCTCTCCTTCCTCTCTTTCTTCTTTCCATACCTAGGTCATCTCGACCGATGTAAAAGTTGGCAGCCCCTGTTGAAGACAGAAAGAAAGAGAGGAGAAATGCCGTCAGCTGGGAGGGTCTGTCGTCCTGACAGTCCAAATCCCGAGTGTTGTATCTCCAGTCTTCACAGGACACTTCAATACAGGTCCCCTCCGGACCCATCTCGAAACATTCCTGACACGAGCAGACCCCATCTGGCAGCACTGGTGTATATAATTATACATATGTAGACAGTTGTGACAGATTAAAGTATTATAAACCATGTTGCCTTAAGCTCAACATACACAGCACAACTTTGCATGCAACTTTAGTCTCATGGAAGTTGCACCATGTAGCTATGTTGGGCAGAAGTTGCTTGGAAATAGAATGGTTGTCTATTCGATGCAACTTGTCTCATTCAACAAAAAATCGCAACATACATCTCACGCTACATTATACACTGACACACTACTATATACTGTACAGGCTATAGTTTCGACCACCTTCTGTAAGGTAGGAAGCTATTACATACATTGTGGAAATGATTACATGTGGAAGTCTGATGCTTTCACTAGGCACCCCTTGAACCTCAATTCATTATGGTGTAATAAGACTGTATTGAATTCATCCGTAGTTCTCTTCCTACTGTATAACCTTTAACCCTTAGATCATCACACCCCATATCCTGACTTGCAGTCACAACATAGTTAGTTGCTTGCTCACTTTGTCCAACCACAACAATGACAATGCTTACACCCAGCTTACACAGCATTAGCTGATGCTATAATGGCCGAACTTACGGCATTCTATTAGCTTTGAAGGGACGGCGTTGATTCCTGGAGGGTAGCACTGAGAATTTGTTGCTGCAGACGCCCGTCATCTGCCTCCTGGACAAGTGGTGCGGCTCGGCTCGCTCGCTCACGAGCCCGGCTCTGAGGAGATGGCTGCAGAAACGACAAACGAAGGCATCAGCACTGTTCGAAACTTTACCATAGGAGACGCAATCAGCCGCATGATTACCTGCGGAGCGAGCGAACGAGGGAGGGGCTCGCTCCCTTGGTGCCGCGGCGTCCAGACGGACTCGCGCTCAACGAACCGAAGAGAGCAGCTAGCACCACGCACAAAACGATCACTCCCTTCATCTCCTTTGACAGAAGTACAGCGTATGTGGTTTTCTTTAACTATGTGACGGCTAGTTATTGGCAGTATACGGAGACGTGCACGTAGTTTTATAGAGTATACGGAGATGACGCAATCCGCCTGGGGGTGTGGTAGAGGGCGTGGCACAACTCCGGCGAAAATGGCGGATACTACGGCTGTAGTTGACAAAGCTCTGCTGGGCTTTCTGAACGGGATTTGCAAGCGACAGTTCTTTGGAGAGGAGGACATTAGCGACGAATTTCTCAGGGAAGATGTTCTGGGCGGCATGGCCGAGGAAGGTGTGGAGAAATACCTCTCACGTGACCCTCCGGCTGTATCTTCTCTCTATTCTCAGAATATGCGGCTTTGCTAAAGCGCTATGCCTCCATATTGAACAGTTTGGCTTCGACTGACATGGATTTCAACCAACTCTCTGCATTCCTCCAGTCACAAATGAAAAAAAGACAAGTGAACCAAACACTTCGTTTCGTAACGATAGAATTACGTAATCATTACGTCATACAGGGAGCACTGACTGAAAGCGAGGCTGCTACGGTCACAAGATTCTGGAAAAGTCAAAAAACCAAGGTATTATGAACTTTTTCATCGCGGCGAAACTCATCGTAAAAATTTTCTTCTCACTCAAACATTTTCGTGATGTGTCACAGGTACACGAGCAGCTGGTGAAGAAGAGTGTGTGGGGAGACAGACTCAAGCAGGTTTCCTGGAGAGTGGACGTGAAGACGAAATCCAGACACATCGATCAGATCAACACACCGACTGGGATCATTGAACTGCAGCTTGGGAAGGAAGACAGCGAGAAGGTTGTTTGTGTTTGCAAATAGTCTGCTTTTTAAGGGAGTGTGACAAAGAACTTAGAAACTTTGTTAAAATGAGCACCTCTCCAATAAGGACACCTTTTCTTTCCCCAAGAACAGTTCTTGCATGCAATGTGACCCCTGAAATAAGGACACCTCACTAATATGGACACTTTCTTCTGTCCCATTGGTGTCTAGATTGGAGGGGTTCCTTCCCGGCATTAATCAATTTTGTTAAGGCTATAAATATGTATGCCTTCCCCATCATCTTCATCTCTCTCCGTTCTCCAATCCACAGCCAGAGGAAGTTGTGAGGTTCGAAGTTGACGAGCGGAAATTGGGGGAACTCCTCTCTCAAATACAGGATATTGAACAAGCTCTCCAGACACACTCGCAATCTTAGGGAGAGATTATAGCTCTATACTGCGTTTGTTTTTTGTGCCTTTTGTAATAGCGTTCAATGTATATTATATAGTGCAGAGGCTTATAATGATTATCTTTAACACAGGATCTCTGCGCACCATCTATTATACTTAACAAAGGGCCAACGTACACTATTATGACACATTTCTTATAATAATTATTTATATATAATACTAGGCGTTAATGTGATTTATACATCCATTTCTGCTTATTTAAGGAGATATCCAAATGGTTCAAGGGGTATATACACATACACTATTATGACACATTTCACAGTCAAATTTTATTATTGTTGAATCACTTTCTAAAGATAGTTACTTTTATAGAGTCTTCAGGGCTGTTTACTTCTGTCACAGTAATGTACATCATTTGTGCCTCATTATCGAGGGTCACACTCGCTCTAGCAGACGTCTCAACATTATACCCAAACCCTATGCCACCGTAGGCATAGTAGAGTGATGTGAATATCTCAGTCGGTAGCCCAGAGCAAGGTGCAGCAGTACACGGTGTATAGACGAGTGTAAAGTTTTTGATTTCGGGTCAAACTGCAAGAAAGTTGGAGTTCCGGCAATCTTATGAGGAAATGGGCGAGCAAGAGACATTATTACTGTCGAGTTTCGTAACGTTGGGGTCGGGGGTCAAGTACCAGTAACTCCATCCGTGAAAACAATTCGTCCATTTTCGACGTTGCAAAATCGATGACTTGCTCGGCGGCTATACCTTCACCGGCGTTTCCAAATTCGTGAGGAATCCGGCTAGTTGTAGTCTGTTCGTGTCGTCGCGTCTCACGTCATACAGAGCGTCGTCGAGCACATCGCAAGCCTCTACTGAGAGAATCTCAAGAAGGTGTTGTAGGAAATTGGTAATCGGTTTTCTATCGACCACGAGACAGTATATATGGTAGGAGAGAGCTTGACGATTGTTGTAAGCCGTGCCACCGGGCCCCTCATCGAAACCCACCGGCCAACCGTCGAGAAAATTCCCGCCTGTCGACGGTTCGAAGAAGATGATTGAATCGTTGTCGACCTCGCGAATGTACTCGTGGAGAACTCTGTACATTCTTGCCATGTTTTTCGTGTCGGCTATTTTAGGGAACCAAAGATCCCAATGATCGGGGTTAATATCAGGGTCTAACTCGTCGAGTGTGAGTGGTACATCTCCTAGCCATGGTTCATTGATGAGTTCATATCCAAGAACATTTTGAAACTGTTGAACTCGACCAGCAATCAACTTCCAGAATTCACCGAAACGATCGAGGATCCCCTTGTCGTTATCATACAGTCGCTGGGCAGCTGCTCCTATTGAATAGGTGATGTAGCACGACGACCACCCCAAAACAAACTTTCCGACGTCAGCACAGTTTGTTATCTCTCCGTTCGGACCGTATTGCGGCTTTACAACCGGTTCCGGGTAGGCTTTCGAACCACCAGGTTGATAATCAGAGGAGTTGTAAGGCTGGGCGTACTCGGACGGGATTCCGTGACTGTGACAGTAGAGTGGCGACCAGCAGTCCTGGTGCATGTCTAGCATCACGTGGATCCCGCTATCGTTCAGTAGAGAGATGTAGTCCGCGAGGCTCTTGATGTAGGTTTCGTTGTACACACCTGCTTGAGGCTCCACCATGTGCCATTGGAAACCAACTCTAACCATATTCAACCCCCACTGCACCGGAGAATTATGCATTATGTCAAATGTGACTATCAACATAATGCTGGGGAACCTGTGTCATATCTCTATTACTACTTACTACCATAAGATATATCGCTCGCAATGCTACACATAGATCTAGCTAGAAGTATTACTTGGAGACTAGAAAGGCATTTAGGCAAAGAACAATGCTAGCTTACACTGCACTGGCAAGCTAACCTATTGCACTCTATATAGTCGTTGACCCTACCGTGTCGAATAATGCTAAGTGTGTGTCTTACCGATTTCATGAGGTCGATTTGCTGCTGGTCCAGCGTCCGAAGGTACCACGGAGGAGACGAGTCCTCCGTGTCCAGTCCGTGGAACACGTAAACTCGTCCGTCCGACACCCCGCGGTACATGCGCGTGCTCGGGTCTATCTGGATTTTGTCTACTCCTCCCGAACCCGCTCTCCCTCTGCCGACACCGCAAAGGGCTAGAGCGTAGAGAAGCACATACACAAAAGCTGCCATTTTCGGATATTCACTGCATGCACAGAGCGCGGCGGGCTTTTGTCGCGAGCAGCCCCTCCCACTTGCGCATGCGCACTCTATCTGACGCGTTGCCTAGGCTCCCGTTTAGACGCGCGTTCCCCAGACCCTCCCACTTTTGAAGTATCCACTTTCGCAAGCGGACGCGCTGATCAGAACTACCTCAAAGTCTTCAAAATCTTTCATACGGTGAGTCAGCGGGGCTAGCGATTCGTTGTTTGTTGTAAAAAGGTGTCTCCGAAGCAAGGACGCGCAGAAAACTGACCTGACTGTATTAGCGTCGTCTGGGGCGTCGCGTCTTGCTTCTGGACCAACTCAACAACACGTTTCTATCGTAGCTAGAGCTTTTAGGGGATAGCAGGAGTTGCGATAGCTATGTTTGATGTATAACGAAAGAAAGCACTTGGCTTTGCAGTGAACGCCGCGCTAGTTCTTCGTCGCTTGGCCGCAGGGCTGTTGCTATTATTAGCTACAGGATGCATGGAAGCCTCGCGCCAGATGGCATAGTGCGCTAGTGACGCGTAGCTAGGCGGTAAAGATTTACTTCTTGCTTCGTCCGTTTCTCAGGTTGAGCGAAAATGGCAACCAAAAGCAGTTTCCCAACCGACGCCGACTACCCCGACTTGTCCAAGCACAACAACTGGATGGCAAAGTGCCTCACGAAGGAGATATACGGACGACTGAGGGACAAGAAGACGCCGTCCGGTTTCACGTTGGACGAATGTATTCAGACAGGTTGGCATTTGTCACGCACCAACTTGGAATAGATTTCTATTAGCTACGTAGCTATAAGCTATCTAGACTTCTGCGATATTATATAAAGTATTATCTCACGTGATGCTTCAGGAGTTGATAACCCGGGGCACCCCTTCATTATGACTGTGGGCTGTGTGGCCGGAGACGAGGAGAGTTACGATGTGTTTGCCGAACTACTCGATGACATCATCGAAAAACGCCACGGAGGCTACAAAAAGGTATGACAGCTGACAATCACATTTTGTTCTAAGCCAACTTTGAACTCTTCTAGGACGCCAAGCACACAACTGACCTCAACCCGGACCACCTAAAGGGGGGAGATGACCTTGACCCGAAATACGTCCTGTCGTCCCGAGTTAGGACGGGGCGCTCGATCCGTGGCTACGGTCTGCCACCTCACTGCTCACGAGCCGAGCGGCGGGCCGTGGAAGAGATTGTTGCCGCCGCACTCGGCGGCCTCGATGGAACTTTCAAGGGTAAAGCGTTACACATCCCATAATATTCACTCATAGCTCATTTTCAATGTTTATCCAACACACACCTTATATGTATGTGTTACCACAGGAGAAGTACTACCCACTGGGTGGTATGAGTGAGGAAGAGCAGCAGGTACTGATTGACGATCACTTTCTCTTCGACAAGCCAGTGTCTCCCCTCCTTCTGGCCTCGGGGATGGCGCGAGACTGGCCCGACGGTCGCGGGATCTGGCACAACGACAAGAAGAACTTCCTCGTCTGGGTAAGTACGAGAAAAAAATGTAAGAGGGGAGGGGGGGCCCAGAGAAAAATAAAACATGAAAAAGGACAAGAATACAGAAAGTAGATAGAAAAAAAGTGGAGAGAAGTTGACAAAAGAAAGACTGGACTTATTTGTCGTTTTATTCCCTAATCAAAGGTAAACGAGGAGGATCATACTCGTGTCATCTCCATGGAGAAAGGCGGGAACATGCGAGCCGTCTTCACCAGGTTCTGCGAGGGCCTCAAGAAGGTGGAAGACTCCATCAAGACGAAAGGGAAGGCCTTCATGTGGAGCGAACACCTTGGCTACATCCTCACCTGTCCCTCCAACCTCGGGACGGGGCTGCGTGCCGGCGTCCACGTGAAGCTCCCTCTCCTCTGTAAAGACAAGCGCTTTGATGGCATTCTCAAGAAACTCTGTCTCCAAAAGAGAGGCACTGGTACGTTGCACATTGCCAACAACTTAGTGTCTCTTACACAGTTTGCCAGTGCCTTTACTCTTCGATTGTTTAATCTGTTCTATATCCTTGTTACATGAACACTGGAGAGCGTTGTGCATTGCCAACAACTCACCCTTGTCAACAGTACACAGCCTTTACTTTTTGATTGTTTAATCTGTTCTTTGTTACATGAACACTGGAGGGAGCGTTGTGCATTGCCAACAACCTAGTGTCCCTTTTCAACAGTACACAGCCTTTACTCTTTGGTTGTTTGGTCGTTTCATAGTGTACTGTGAGCACTGTTTGGTAGTGTCTGTAGCACTTTTGGTTCTTGGTCCATGCATTGCTGGCTGCTCGCTCTAGACTGCAGAGTTCCGTGGGTTCCAAATAACCTGGACAGCTCGAAACAAGTTGCCCTGGGTGTAGTTATGTACATATGTTGTTTCCTGCTTCCTTGCCAATTAATGTTGATGTTAGTGTACATTACTGATCAGAATATGCAATTATAACACACACACACACACACACACACACACATCAGCTTTGCCATCCTATATTATAGTAGTAGTAAAAAACCACAGGCATGCCCAACTGCCCACGCAATATAATTGGGTACTCGTGGGGTTGGAAGCAGGTATATAATACACGTGACCACTACAAAAGCCATCTCAATACCTACCATCTTTTTCTTCCCCCCCACACACACACTAATGTGTAGGTGGTGTTGACACGGCCAGCACCGACGGGACATTTGACATCTCCAACTCTGACAGACTTGGATTCTCAGAGGTCTCCCTCGTTCAGAAAGTCGTGGACGGAGTCAAGCTCCTCGTGAACGTATGTTATAGTCCCATACATGATGTTTCCCTGGCACCAGTGTTTACACTATAAGAATATCCTGTTGCCTATTACCCATACATGGGTTTACTTCAGTATAACAACTACCTGTATACACTGGCATCTATGCCTGACCCACACAGTTGCTAGTGTAGGAGTGTGCCTCCTTAATGTCACACATTATCCTACACGAGGGAGAGCACGTTGCTGTTTACATGCAAGAGCTAAAGTTGACTCAGACCCTTGCACTGAACAGTTGTTGGCATAGAGCAAAGTAGCAATATAAATGCCAATTTCAAAAAATAGGACGACCTACTTCGGTATCACTTTTTGACCCCTGGCATTGCTTTCCCCCTCTATTATACAGATGGAGAAAAAGTTGGAGGCTGGAGGGTCGATTGATAGCCTCGTCCCCAAGTGAACCTAACCTCCTGACTGACCACAGACTGAGACACTGTAGTATATATACTGCTGTACATTAGCCTGGCGTGCATACAGAGACATGCATCGTTATTTATATGCAGAACACAGTGTGAAAGTACTTTAAACAGATGTATTATAGACAATGAGAGAAGCGAGAACAGTTGAAGAGGTCGTTTTGAAAAAATAGACAGTTAGATAATTATAGTAGAGTTGAAGAGATGGAGAGTTGTTTTTTGTCAGAGGGTCTTTTTAGTAGCAGTGACTGCAAAACACCGAGGTGACATGGCTGGGTCAAACAACTGTACCAGACTGACTTCTTCCGTGCTTCCCTGGGTCAAAACACACGCTCAAATGAGGCTGTGCGCCTGTGGTGCTTTATTCTTGGGCGCTTTATTGACCAGACAAGGGGGTTGCAGGCATGCTTATGTCGAACTAGCAAACATTTTCTAACCTTCCATTCTTAAACCTTTGCTGATAGTTACCGTATAATTATGAAAAGCACTAAAGTGCAAACCCTCGGCACACTATATAGAAATGTGGAACCCATACACAAGTTTCCATGGATTATTTTCAATAGATGGCCAGCCCCATTTCTGTTTGAGGCCCAAAAAAATATATAAGGTCGAAAAATTGCCAACCTTTCATCTCTCTATTAATTTTCGTATTACCTGTGGATTGTTTAGTGCAAAAAAAACCTAAGGGGTTAAGAAAAAAAACGGCCAGCCCTTCATCTCTCCAGACAGACGTCTACGGACGTAGTGCAATGCCGAACTGTACGCTGCCCTTTGAGAAACATGGGTCAGTGGTAGATTTGTGGGTAAGGGGAGGTACCAGAGCTGTTCCCAGCCAATGCTCTGGACCATCTGACATTTTAGTGCGGGGATAGAGGATTCGAACCTGGCACCTATGGTGTCAGTCCCCACGACTCTAACCACCTAGCCACTCGGGCTGGCCTTGAGAAGTGATGAAAAAACGTTCCACTTATACACCAACAGCCAACACTCCTATTACATCATTGTAAAAAAGGCGCACTGCACCCGGGATCGAACCAAGGATCTCACGATCAAGAGAGGGGGTGCTTATCCATCAGACCACCATTACTTGAATGTAAATGAAAAGCACTAAAGTGCAAACCCTCGGCGAAGTAGCTCGCAGAGAGTCTGACACGGGCTAGCTACAGTAGTAGATAGCACGCGAGAGTCGATACACGCCATTCGTTGTGCCTTCAAGATAGACAGAGCAAGCGGACCCGGTCGAGCTAAATATATGCGCATGCGCATTATCCGCCAGAGATAAAATGGCGACTACACCGGCCATACAATGCTGGAAGCACTCTAGCACTGCAACGGATCATTTTCAGAGAAAACCCCACATACCTTCTGACCCTCGTCGCCCGTTGGGTAGATGGTATCGTTTCTGGGACGAACAGACACCCGAGAAGTGAGATTGAGAGTAACAGACAGACACAGACAAACCCAACTACAGTACCCTCGCTGCGCATGCGCGCCAAGGGTAATAAAAGAGTGGAATAACAATCCCACTTCACCCCTGCCTCCAAATCATTTCAACATTGTGCAACAACAACGCTGAATTCTGTGGCAATGCACCAACTACTCCGGGTACTATTGGGACCAGGAACATCCCCAATGGGTTTCGTAATAATTCATAATGATTGAAGAACCAACCTGCTCGTGCAGAAAGAGTAGTCGGTCCATCACGATCAGTGACTCCACACACGATGCAAGAACAGCTCTCAACTGAGACAAAAAAATAGAAGACGAAACTTGTGTATCTAAACTGGAACCTTCGATAAGGGACCCTCCAAGATAGGGACAAACTTGTTTCACCCCATGCTAATTTAGTGACCTCCGAGATAGGGACGACCTCTCTACAAGGGACACTTGTTTCACCCCATGCTAATACTAGTTGACCTCCGAGATAGGGACGACCTCTCTACAAGGGACAAAACCGTTGGCCCCAATATGTTCCTTGTTCGGAGGTTCAACTATATACTGCATCTCACAATGAAGTCAGAATAAAGACCACCACCACCTTCAGGAGGATGGAGAGGCAAACTCTTCCCGACTCAAACTCTCTGTACGCTGCAGCCACTTCCTCTCCTGAAACCTGAACATCATTCATAGACACACACATGAAGGGACTTCAGTGAACCTTTCACACAAGAAGTTCAAGTAAATTAAAAATCCCGTGTGATTTAAAAAAACAGGCATATTATAGGGATTATTGTAAGGGAGACAAGATAGGGATGGGATACATGAAGCATGGTGATTTTGAGAATGTTGACACCCCCGACCCCATCACACAATCCCCCTATTGTTGCCCATTCATAGACACACAATGAAAGGACTTCAGTCAGCCCTTCACACTACCCGAAAGAAGTATATTATAGCTCTGCCAGACATGCTCACACATTTAATACACTGGACCACTTTGAAAACTGATTATCTCATGAAACCATTAAAACTTTGAAGGACAAAGATAAGAACTGTTCCCCACGCTCTTAAAAACACTCGCACAGAATTATAAAGTTGAAAAAAATACGTTTCACCGATAAATTGTCTTACTTACTCTGCTCGAGTTGAGATCCAACTTCCCGAGCGCTCGTTGGACGTAATCTTGAAACGATTGGGGGGCTCTTCTCATTCTCCCCACAAACAAGTGTCTTGCCCCTTTTCCATAAGACCAGCACAACAACAATTATTAACACAGCTCACAAAGACGACTAGTATCGGTTCAAAACACAAACAGTTATTACATACCTTGTTGCAAACATGTCAGGGTAGTCTCTCTGTAATAGTACCTTAACACAAAATATAATGTCAGTCTTTAATGTGTAGCTATCATAATTTTCATGATCCATTGTTTGGGGTTCTTTGTGAATGTTAAAAATGCTTACCTACCCACATACGTACATGTGCATTAAGAGGGACAAGTATTTGTTAAAAATAGAAATCTGCACGAGAATATGTTGTGCTCCGCAGTAAAACTTGTGAGACCTGAAGAACAGCTCGTCTGAAGACACTCTCCAGGGCGGCCCCTGAGCTGATGAGTGATACGCGACTAGCAGCTTGGCACGCCAGCATCCTCCCTGTCCTCCCTGCAAACAGATGAATGTTAGCATCAAGGGTTGGGCCCAATATTTGCCTGTTAGGAAATGAAAACAGCTAATTTTGGGGCTATTGATGAAGCAAGCTGCTGCATAAGTAACTAAAAACTCCCGCAAAACAATGTCTGTGAATAATTTCATTATCATACAGTTTTGTGGCAAGTCTTACCGATGAATGCACCGTGAGTCTGCAGAAAGTTGCTCATAGGAAACCCGGCATCTTTGCAACAACCTACAAAATTAAAAAACAAAATTTTCCGGGAAAAGACACCATTTTCCCAACCTGTTTTCTCCTCCTTCTCCTCGGTAATGTGATGGTAGCAACAGCCAACCACGCACACGGCACGCAACTGCGGTTGCCGTAGAAACAACCTCAGAGCCACGCCCCCCAGATTCCCGCAGGTGTGAAGCCCCACGATACACGTGTGCCCCTGTCTAACGAACCTTCCTCCGCTCTCTCTCTCGGCCACTTCCAGGATAGATTCTTGACCTGTGCTCTCGGACGCTACGTCGTCTTCACCAATGTTGGCGAGAGAGATGAGTTGAGTAAGAGGCGTGAAAGAGACCCCATCAGTTTGTGCTACTGAAACTCCAGTTGAATTTTGAGCCTGTTCGAGATCCACATGTTTTGTTTCTTCTTCTTCTTTCTGCCCTTTTCCGAAGGTGCTTTCGTGAGGAGTCACTTGCAAGACATTGTGAGTGGCTTGCATCTTTGAAATTTCACCTGATTTTCTGTGCTGTTCCTGATTGTGCACGAAGAAATCTTTCACTCTTCTCGCCGAGCTGTTCTGAAGGCCTATTTGTGAGATCTTGTGGGCGGATTTGTCGACCCCTTCTTCAGTTTTATTTTCCTCGTCTTCAGAGCCTGAGAAAGACGGTGAAGTTTTCCGACAATCGTCCATTTTCTTCACGCTCTCTCCTTCCTCCATTTCGTAATCAGCGGGTGACGACCCCTCCTCATTAAACAGAGTGGACAAGTTGAGTTTTCCGGTAAATGTATCGGCAGCCAAAGTGCCTTCTGACGGTAAGCGCTGATGGTGATCACGGCGAGGTTTGCTGGGATTTGAGGCGCTTTTCCACGCTTTGTAGACCTGTAAAAATGGAGCGGAAATTAAAAAATGAAGACAAGAATCGTAATTAAGATGCACATACAGTAAACACAGGAGGGAAGGACCGCACAGTACTATATGCCATATACTTTTATCTGAAAACACACTTAACACAATGGTGCTTTCTCGTAAAAATTCTATTCACGAAATTTGCAGGACTGTGGCGAATTTTTTACATGGAAAAACTGGGTAGCTACGTTAGGTTGATAAAAAAGTAATAAGAGGGGTCTGTAATTACTTAATAATAATAATAATACTCAGGTGGCTGCCATAGCACTAGGGCCATAGACCACGCACCCAGAGCAATGGGCGGAACCGTTAACAAACGAACATACACACGAACATAATAATAATTAGTAATAATCGTAGGGGCGACCTTTTCGTTTCGAGTGTGAGCCCCGAGGGTATTGGACACTTGAGCGTCGACGCCGACAACGCAGAGTCTCTGGCTCAGTGAGAGATGCTGACTCAGGTATCCCTTCCCGCTCCCCACGTCCAGCACCTATTTATAGAAGACAGACGCCATTACGTCATTGAGAGAATGAGCTATTAATATACCGTGTTGTGGAAAATTTTAAGAAAGAGAATTTCAGAGTATTAGAGCAACTATGAAAGTGTTCCTCAAATTTTGTGCGTAATGACAAGCAATCCATCAAGATTTTGTCTGTCAATTGAAGGATTTTTCGTTGTATCGCTACATTTTCATTTATACCTGCGTGATGTTCAGTTTGGATGTAAGTTGAGCAACGTAGCTAGAAAAATTGTCCACCTCGTGACTCTTCTTGGGCGTCATTCCAAACTGGGCCAGCTGGTCTGGAACAGAGACCATGCACCGTCCCCGTTCCATTGGAATGGAATGGGACCGCACAGTGTACAGAAAATGGTGGAGAGACCCTGTAATTATTATCAGTGATTATCATTATAAAGTAAACTGAAATTAGACTACCGGGATCAGTAGACGGTGTGGTAGGAAATAGAATATCGTCAGTAGTTGTGAAATATTCTGAAGTATTTAGCTCTTGTTTCCATTGCTCTGGGATTACACCTGAAGTATAATATTATACAGAGTATCCTAAATCAGTATGAAGGTCCTGGCATGAATAGCTTTCTTCACACCGGATTACCTCGGTTTCAGCTGCTACTAATGCATGTGGGGAGAGTTGGCATGCCATGAAAGACTCTTCAACCCACCGCCCCAGTTCTCAAGGCTGGGCACCTGGTGTCCTGCCTTGTTATGTGCAACTGTGTTGTTTGTGTCTGTGTATATACTTGGGTGGAGGATGGGGGTGTGGAGGGTGACTTCTGGTTTTTCTATATATTCTCTGTGGCTAGTATGCTATAAATACACTCTTCATGCAGCATCCATGATACATAAACTGTAGGTATTACATGACCCCTCTCTCATACCTACCAACCTGCAGATAAACCTGCAAAAAGCTGGATGGTTGGTAGGTATGCTCTCTCCAAACAGATCCCTTGCCAATACAAGGAGAAGTGCAACGGTTTCCGTTTATCTTTGCAAGGCTGCCCGTGAATTCCTCTATGAAATAGCCCATCTTCTGTGTAATCCATATTCATACAGCTATGTAGATACGTAGGAGTGGAGGAATATGAGGTGTCATAGCTACATACTGTCCCAATGGGAGCAAGTAAAGAAGTCCACTGTATGAGCATCCATCAAATTCCGATGAGTTGCCACGGTTTCGTAGAGTGACAGGGCCCAGGATTCTGCCTCACTGCGTGAGGGTGTGAGGGTGTGCCACGTGGGAGGTGGTGACGACGTCATATCGTCGATTCCTGCGTCATCTACACAGCTCCGTTTCTCTCGTTTACCGGCCGTATACTTGTAAAACTTCCGTATACCTCGTATATTATAATAATATTGCTCCGTTTTTCCGCGCGGACACTCGCGAGGGAGTGCGTGCGCTGAAAACAGCAGAATTTCACATCTGCGGTTGTTTTTGCATATTATGTCAACTGCCGGCATGTGTGTAGTTGAACATGAGCGTCAATAGTCGGTACACGGACACGGGGAGAGCGCGAGAAATGGCGGCGACCTCGAGTCACCCTTACCAGCACCGCGGGGGAGCGCCGCCCGTGTCTACAGAGCGAGACGGAGACCCGTACTACGAGGATAGCACAAGCAGCAGCGACGAAGATCTAGAGATGGCGGGCTCCGAGGCGGACACGAGAAGGTTGCTGGACCAGAGAAACGAGGCCGGCTACCCAGCTACCCTCTCTGCGACGTCTGCAAGTCTGTACCCGCAGCTAGCAGCTCAAGGGGTCGACTACCACGGTCAGCCTCTCGTCCCGGGCCTTCCTGGAAACGTCGCCGGCCACCATAACGCCCAGTACGGCTCCGTAAGCAGTTCCCTACCGTCACAGGGGCGCAATAAGACGAAGCGGAAACGCTACCGTCTCCCGTTCCTGATTCTTCTCTTTTTCGACTGTGGACTGGTGATATTTCTGTCGATCATCTCTTATGATTCAAAGGTGAGGGTGAAGAGGGGAGGGAGAGGAAGAGGGGGGGCCAGGGGGAGTAGGATAAGAGAAAAAGAAAAGAGAGTGCTGTGCCATCGAGTGAAATCGTACTAGGCAACGGTTTTTCCGTATTTGTTCCATATTGCGCACTTATTTAAGTCTTCCAATACTTGCCACACCTTCTGGAGCAGTCTTCTGTTCTGTGTTTTGCCTGTTGTGATGCCGACGGAGAACAGTATTGCATCGGAGAAAAAGCTGTATTCACAGTCTGCTGCGATTTCGTACAGCACCATGATAAAATGTTCTCTGCTCTCTCTCTCTCTCTCTCTCTCTCCCCCTCTCTCTCTCGCTCATGGTGATGTAATTATTATGCATGTGTACATATACATATATAGCAGCAGTTCAATCGGCTCTTTCAGCGGAGCAGGTTCCTATCAAAGAACCACTGTTACTGCACAAAACAGACGCACCCCATTCTTAACCCTCCACGGACATGCTGGCAAGACAAAAGACCAACACTGATACAATAGGCCAACACTAATCTAGTTGTAGGCACATAATACTATGGAAGCTGCAACTACATAGCACGAAGACACCCAATAGCTGTGTACAATTTGAGCTTTGTGCAATAAATGTGAGCGTTGGGAACATTCGATGGAGTAGAAGATGTCTGTTGACACGTACATGGGTATAGTTGACTTGTGTGCCTAAACTGCAGAGTGTCGTGGGTTCGAATCCAACCCAGGGCAACTCTTCTTCTTTTCTTTGAAAAGAAAGAGCTGTCCTGGGTGTAGTTGACTTGTGTGCCTAGACTGCAGAGTGTCGTGGGTTCGAATCCAACCCAGGGCAACTCTTCTTCTTTTCTTTGAAAAGAAAGAGCTGTCCTGGGTATAGTTGACTTGTGCGCCTAAACTGCAGAGTGTCGTGGGTTCGAATCCAACCCAGGGCAACTCTTCTTCTTTTCTTTGAAAAGAAAGAGCTGTCCTGGGTGTAGTTGACTTGTGTGCCTAGACTGCAGAGTGTCGTGGGTTCGAATCCAACCCAGGGCAACTCTTCTTCTTTTCTTTGAAAAGAAAGAGCTGTCCTGGGTGTAGTTGACTTGTGTGCCTAGACTGCAGAGTGTTGTGGGTTCGAATCCCACTAAATTTAGTAAAAATGCATTCTTTCACTGTGCCCCTATTGTTTTTGTTCTATCTTTAGTAACATTTCTAAGTTTAGCCCTTACATACTGCCACAGTCCCTTTATTAAGGCCCAGGTGATTGTCACAGGCACTTATCTCTCTCGTGGTCGGCTTGTCTGTCATTCTGATCTTTTATATTTTCTTCAGAAGAGTAAAATGGATGATCCCATTCCTCAGCTTGCCTATTTCAGCATGGACCTCAAAAGCAACTACTTCGATTTAGTCGTAAGTCAACCCATCACTTGTAGTGAATAATTATACATACCTTTGAAAATTTTTCCCTACTTCAACATGCACCGATTGGTGAGAATTCGGCAGTTTGAAATTTGTTCTCTGTTTTTAGTTGCTGGCTATACTTCGACTGGTGCTGAATTCTCTACTATACCTGCTGATGGGCTGGGTTACGAGAGCCATAATGGGGGTGAGTTACATAATCACGCGTAAGCCTCTCACCTGCCATAACGTCCATTTTATCCTGCAGGCAACGACAATAGCATCTGCCATTTACGTGCCGCTGAAAGCTTACTATGTAAGTGATGACGTAAATCTCTATTTCATTGTTTGCAACCTTCGTATTTCTTTTCCCTCCCTCCCCTCCCTCCCCTCCCTTCCTCCCTCCCTCTCTCTCTCCTCCAGTGTTGGCCTCTGACTAGCTCAGAAGATGGCGATTTTCAAGATATTCCGATTTTGCTTATTCTCTTCGTTTCCTTTGTAATGCCTTGGGCTGAAGCTTTCTTTTTTGAGTTCAAGGTAAGTTTGTGGGGAAGGCAGAGCACTCTGTGTTCTAGAGAGGGCTCTACCAACTGAGGCAGCTCAGCTGGCTGGGCTGAATCACTCATACAGAGCAAGGCAGAGCACTCTGTGTTCTAGAGAGGGCTCTACCAACTGAGGCAGCTCAGCTGGCTGGGCTGAATCACTCATACAGAGCAAGGCAGAGCACTCTGTGTTCTAGAGAGGGCTCTACCAACTGAGGCAGTTCAGCTGGCTGGGCTGAATCACTCATACAGAGCAAGGCAGAGCACTCTGTGTTCTAGAGAGGGCTCTACCAACTGAGGCAGCTCAGCTGGCTGGGCCGAATCACCATCATTATTTGTTCCATATTTCTCTCTCAGTATCTGCCAGCTGAGCTCGGTAGACTCAGCACAGTAAGCTGGAAAAGGTGGGAGTTTTGGCTGTGGCCTAGAGCATTGGTCAGACCCGACATCAGCGACCCACCATCTCTGCCCGACGTGACAGCTCAACAGCAGCAAGTACACAGGTGGGAGAGATTTCTTTCTGCCATTTTCTCATTGCTGATAGGTCTCTGCAAACTGTCACAGTGGGTGTGGTAAACTGTCGCGGGAGGAATGTTTCCAGAATATGTGGCAAATACGAATTTAGTGGAAAAACTTTCAATGGCTGTTTTTCCACCCCAATTCTTTGAGTTCTTCTCCCGTTAGCGCCTGGAGCATAATATTATCAATTTTCGTTTTAATGAAGGCTTGTCCAGGAGTATCAAGTGGTCTGGGGAAGTATTACTTGGCCCTGTTTGGGGTCAAGGTTTTCTGCCACAAGACCACAACTATAGTCCCAAAAGAGATATAATATGTATGTGCGTAGGTAAAACCCCAGCTCTTGTGGGTTGCATCCACACATCCACACATCCACACATGCACACATGTCTCTTATGGAGCGAAGCATAACAAACAGCATAGAGTGTTACTTGGTAGTTTCACTCCTATATTGCTTAATGTTTGGATTCTCTTGTCTCCCTCCCTCCCTCCCTCTTTCCCAACCTCTCCCTCCTCTCCTTCCTTCCCCTCTCCTCTACCTGACCAATCATCCTCACATCTCCAGACTCTACGCACCCTCAACTGTCTCACTTGATTTCAGAACACCAATGGGATCCAACAGAAGTAACTTTTTTAGTGGGCAGCAGTATAAAATTTTACTGCCATTAGCACAATGGGATCCAACAGAAGTAACTTTTTTAGTGGGCAGCAGTATAAAATTTTACCTCCTGATTTGCCAATGCCTTGGTTCAGGACGTCCTGATAAATCAGTTCCTATTCCCCCGTTCCCAGATTCTCCAATCCCAAACCACATGATCCACGGGGACCGCTCATACCGTACCGGCCCTGATGAGGAACTCCCTCCAATATCGGAAGAGGCCACACCCTCTCCAATTATTAGACGGACCTTGTCGGTGGAAGTCAGTAAATTTTCTGTATACTAAGCAGTAAACCATTCAGTAATCTATCCTGTAGTTTAGTTTGAGGGTGAGTGCAATATCACTCAGTAAACCAATCTTAGTAATCTAGCTGTATACTACTCAGTATACTAATCAGTACTCAGTAAACTATGTCATGTGATTGTCATGTGACAGGACCGGCGGTACAAGGAGGAGGGGGAGCAAGTGTTGCAACAGATGCTCGAGTTCACTTCCAGCAACGACTCTTGGAAATTTGAGCGGACAGCGGTAAATCACGTAAAATGTTCAACAAATTTTTAAGTGTTGCCCATTAAAATTTTCCGAAGGAGAAAAATTGTGATGCTTTTCTCTTATTTACGTAGGACGGGGTGACATTTCGTAGTAGAACATGGCAAGGAAAAAAGATCTGGAAAGCTGAGGTAAGCCACAAAACCACATATCTTTGAGATCTGTGTGTCAAAAGTAAAACAAGGGATTTTTTCACATTTCCCTTTAGGAAGTATAAAATACAGTAATGTATTAGTATATATATATGGGGCAGAACCAAGTGTCCTTTATAGAGAGGTGTCCCTATGTATTAGTATGGGGCAGAACCAAGTGTCCTTTATAGAGAGGTGTCCCTATGTATTAGTATGGGGCAGAACAAAGTGTCCCTTATAGAGAGGTGTCCTTTATTCAATGGTTTCACCAATGGTTTCACTCTATATGTTTGTACATAGTTCAGATTTTTTGTTGCACAGAGTAATTTACTCGTCCCTGATTGTGTTATATTATTGACAGAAAGAGATGGAATTGGGAGCGGGGCAGCTCTGGAACATTCTGTATCCCGGAAACGAGATGCCTCTATGGAACCCTCAGTGCACATTGAATGAGGTCATACCTAAATATAGTAACACAGTGACATCAGTCACAACACCTACCTAAATATAGTAACAGCAGAATGTCATCACTCATATATTTAGTAACACCTTCACTGATGTTACCTTAAGAAAAGTACAGCCTATCTGTGTGCCCCATGTTTCGGCGATGATGTAATGATTACATCATCCACAGTCGGTGTACAAGGTTGACGAGGAGACAGACGTGGTGTACTCTGTGACGAGTGCAGTAGGACCTGTTTCTTCGAGAGATTTCGTCTCTCTGAGACAGATCTTGAGGAGGGACGATTTCTTTATATCTGCCAGTGTCGCTACCACCTTCAGCCAGAAACCTGCGCAACCAGGGAAAGTCAGGTATGGCAGGGAGGGGGGGAGAGGGGAGGGAGGGAGGGAGCGGGGAGGAAGGGAGGGGAGGGAGGGAGAGGGGGAAATGAAAATCCTTTGGATGCCATGGGCATATTTTTTAACTTTGCCTTAAAAATATACAGGTTACAGTGCCCACTCTCATTTACTGTACATGACTACGGCGTTTTTAATTGATGAGATTGTGGTGATAGGATGTGTCTCCGTTCCATTCCAGAGGTGAGAACGGGCCCTGTGGCTATAAGGTGGTACACATCGACGACAACAGATGTCTGTACATCTGGGTTCTCAACACTGACCTAAAGGTTGGCCTTACATTAAGTTGACTAGCCTTACATGTACACAAAAAAAAGAGCTGTCCTGGATGTAGTTGATTTGTTTGTTGTGCCTTTGCCTTTCTACCTCATAGTTTTCACATACAAACCTCACCAAATACAGTGGAACCCCCGGACAAGGGACACTATGGGGCCAACGATTGTAGAGAGGTCGTCCCTATCTCGGAGGTCAACTAGTATTAGCATGGGGTTGAAAGAAGTGTCCTTTGTAGAGAGGTCGTCCCTATCTCGAAGGTTAATTAATACACTAAAGTATTAGCATGGAGTTGAAACATTAATGTCCTTTGTAGAGAGGTCGTCCCTATCTCGGAGGTTAACTAATACACTAAAGTATTAGCATGGGGTTGAAAGAAGTGTCCCTTGTAGAGAGATCGTCCCTATCTCGGAGGTTAATTAATACACTAAAGTATTAGCATGGAGTTGAAACAAGTGTCCTTTTTAGAGAGGTTGTCCCTATCTCGGAGGGTCCCTTATCAGAGGTTCCACTGTAAAGGACACCTCTCTATTAGGGACACTTGGTTCTGCCCCATACTAATACAGTATTACCAAAATAAGGAGAGCTTTATCACTCTCCTTTTTTCTTCACTCTTTCTTTCAATTTTCGCTCTTCCCTGCTTTCCCATCTCTTCCCCCTCCCTCCTTACAACCTTCTTTCGCTTTCTCTTTCTCCCTCTCTCTCCTCTCTTGCTTCCCCTTTCTTATTCTTCCCTCTCTCCTCTCCTCTCCCTCCTCTCCTCACTCTCTCCTCTCCTCTCCCTCCCACAAAGGGATGGTTGCCACAGTCGATCATCGATCAGACGTTCTGCGGTGTCATCACCGGAACCTTCAAGAAACTCCGACAGTTCATAGAACAAAGACGCTCCGAGGGGAGACTCTAATTAGAGCACACCCCACTGTTAGGCAGATCCATCACCATGGTAACCATGTTGTATTTGTGTTTTATCTAGTGTGTGTATATAGTTCTTTTTTGCACTTTCTTATTATAATCCACACAAGTTTATTATTATTATGTGTATAATTATTGCAATAGGCTCATATTTATTAATAATAGCTAATCAAAATTAATTGAAACTGCAGTCGTCTCTCCTTGATGTATAGCTCCACCTCTGCTGAGCAGCGTGTCATCGCGCATGCGCTGTATATACACGTCCAACTAATACACTCATTCGAGCATGCAAATTACTTCACACAATCCAGTTTAGTTCAGGCAAAAAAACTCTCCTATATTATATAAACACCGTCCATATAGTAAGAAAGGCTACTCTTTCTTCTCCCGCTCCTTCCTTTTCAAAGCTTTAGCGCGTGTCTTCATCATGGAATCAGCGGCCATTCGTTTGAACTTTGACGCCCATAGTTTGAAGACAAGAACCTGAGAGAGAGAGAGAGAGAGAGAGAGAGAGAGAGTAGAGAGAGAGAGAGAGAGAGAGTAGAGAAACACATCCAACCTTCAGCAGCGAAATGGAGGAAAGACTATATAAGGCTAGGTTCACAATATGGCGCATTGCCCTGTGCGTCCTGCTGCGAAGATGGAAATGGAGTCTATCCTCGCAACGCGGCACGGCGCGACGGGCCAATGCGACATAATATTGTGAACCTAGCCCAAGGGAACGAATGTAGCATTACACTAGACTTTAGGCTCCATGTTTATAGCATCACACTTGTTAGCTTAGTTGGCGGAACTGTTTCAACATGAAGTGTGGCTACAAAAATGGGCACTGAAGCTAGGAAAAAATCACAAATGTAGGGAAAAATCCAACACATTTTTGGCACAAGCTTATTTAGACAAGGGTCCCACAGCATTGTCAACACAATAGCTCTGTATAGTAATGTGAAATAATGCTCCTGGACCCATATTTAAGTACAGTATAATTGACCTGTATGACGTGAGGGATACATCCAGCGGTGTGGTGATAGTGTCCCACGGTGTTCAGAGCTGAGGTAACGAATGTGTCCGGAGAAGGAGCGTCGGACCTGGGTTTCTTAATTCCACTCATTGCTGTGGACACCAGACCTGGAGTAATGCACTGGGAGGGAGAGGGAGGGAGAGAGAGAGAATGGTAGAGTGTCTAATCCAGACACCAATGGGACGGTAGAAAGTGTCAATATTAGTGGTGTCCTTATTTCAGGGGTTGAATTGCATGCAAGAACTGTTCTTGGGGAAAGAAAAGGTGTCCTTATTAGAGAGGTGTCCTCATTTCAGGGGTGTCCTTAGAGAGAGGTTTGGTGCACAACCCACAAAGAGAGACTATGATATGAAGGCACAACTAAAAGTCAACTAATACTTAAGACATCGTATTATGGTTACTGACAGGATAGCATACGAGGTGTATATACCTGAATCACAATTCCCTTAGATCCATATTCCTGCATCAGTCCATCAGAGAAAAACGACACAAACACCTAATCACAAATCGTAGAGCTCGCACACATTTCTGATTACATCATCATGACATCATACCTTAGACGCGGAATACACAGTCAGCATTGCGAGAGGGAATTCTGCCGACAGAGAAGCGATGTTGATCACCAAACCCTTCTTCCTGTAGCCAAGTCACAATTCACCACATCACTCATTCGCCACACAGTGCAAAAGCTGCACTTTCGGCTAACTTTAACACTTAACCAGCCACGGACACATAAATTAATGCGTCCAGAGCCTCCATAAGTACATAAGAATTTATATGGGGGTTATAATACTAGGCGCTAATACTTTATACATAAAATTCTGCTTATTTAAGAAGATACCCATGGCATCCAAAGGGTTAAAATAGAAAATGGCAAAACGTTTTAACAGCTACAGAATACTCCCAAATAACAGCTTTTTTACTTAAAAATTAATGTTAGGAATCCCTTACGAAATTGATAATTTTTTTACCTCTCGACCATTTTCGGCAGCAGTAAATGTGTCATCTGCGCAGATGAAACGAAAAACAAGTTGCAATAAACGCAGACCACATATATATTATATCCATACCTGAACCATACTGTGGCAGTTCACTTCAAGTATATTACGGAGGCGCTAAAAACGAAGAGAAAGTTGTAAATTATTAGGATATCTGTAATCATACTACCAACATACGTACGTCAGCTGGGACGTCCAGAAAGAACTCGGGATGTTCGTAGCTCAAACCAACGTTGTTCACTGGAGAAGGAGAGAAAAAAGCACGAGTAGGAGAAAAAGAAAGAGAAAATTCATCAACCGGAAAAAATTAAGTGGTAAGTTTAGATCTTGGCAGTTTGGCAGTCATCATAATTTTCAAATCAGATTTTTCAAAAGAACTGATTCACGTGTGATAAATTCGCTCCGTGCTTGCCAATGACCAGTTGAAGGCAGAGTCAACGAACCAATATTTTCAGTTACACGGAAATTGAATAAAGGTTGTTGACTTCTCTCACCGAGAAGGCCAATCTCGAGATCTTGGAGTTGTTTCTTTATCTCGGGATAGATCTCCGCACCAGACGAAAAGTCCACCGGAATTATTCGCACTTCGACACCATACTTCTCTTCCGAAAGAACAAAAAAGAAAAAAATTGAGTTCAGTAACTTCGAAAAGTATTACCATAGCGTGAATGCAGTTCATGTTTAAGCACACACAGGTTCACGCATCACGCTATGGGCTGCACACTCTCCCCACCTCCCCGTGGTGCAGTCCGGGAACTCAGCACATTTTGCAGTTTTTACATGATTTACGTGTATTTATGTATTTAGGTATAAACTGCCAACACATATGTATTTGCCATTTAGAAATCAGTGCAGTTTAGACGACGTGGTGAGCTTGCTTATTACGAGCCACTCTCTGTCTTTCTACCCTCAAAAATGACTAACTGATTTCGTCTGCCACTTTCTCCAGCTTTTCTCGAGACCTGCTCATGATGACAACATTCAGACCTCGTTTCGCCAGCTGCAGGGGCACAGACCCATGTTCCCATACTGCCATACACCCATTCCACATACTAACCTGAATCGCATAGGCTCTTCCAATTCCCTCGGAAGCACCAGTCACAACTGATAAATATTTTAGAGGCAGTCAAAATTTGTGGAGTTATCAGTAGATTCTTACCGGCCCATGGTCCGTATTTTTTCAGGTTAGGCCGGAAAATTCCGAGAGGAGCGAGAACGTAGGCCTTGATGAAGGGACAGAGAAAGCAGAGGGTGGAACAGACGGTTTTCAGCAGGTAAACCACGCCCACCCCCGTCGCCACGGCCCTGAAAAAGCAGAGAAAGTCGTAAAAAAGGAGCCGTTTGCACGTTGAAGCTCTCACCTGAATGGGTAGAGACAATCTGACATGAACAAATCCCATGCTTGTGTTGCAAACTCCATTCTTTCTAATTCTCAAAGTGCTGAAAATTTGCAGCGCGTAGGGATCACGTGAACTTGATCGCGCGATGTTTAATACTGCGCATGCGCTTACCTCGTCAATACGCACGCGCATTATGTGATGACAAGATGTCTGATTTGGTAGAGACGACAGAGAGCGAGTCGTGGGGTTTTCTGCTCAGTAAACTTCGAGAATCCGGAGCCTCTGGACCGCAAGACGAGCAGTCAGATATTCTCCACAGTCTTCTACAACACTCGCTGCAACTAGAAAATAGGTAAGTACATATTCTTCTTCCGCTTTTTGTCCGTATTCTTCCTCTGCTTTTTCTCTCGTCCACAGACAGTCCCTGACGCAAGATGACGTAATGATGATTGTGAAGCTGCTATCTGATTGGTCAGAAATCTACAGCTCCAAATCGACCCCCGAAACCCCGCCCAAACCCGGAGACCCTGCATTGCTGAGTCTGATAAAGCTATTGCTCAATTCCTGCGCTGGAGTTCCTTGCAACCAACATTATCTCCTGTAATTTTCGCCATAACATTTGTGTATAGAGCTATGCAGTTTGGAGGCTCCACTGCATAATACTAGCTAACGAAACCCCTGAAAATATTAACCCTCTAAGGGCTTCTCCCCAAGAACAGTTCTTGCATGCAATTTAACCCCTGATATAAGGACACCTCACTAATATGGACACTTTCTACCGTCACATTGGTGTCCTGATTAGAGGGGTTCCACTGTATTGCTTCTTCCAGGGAAGCCGGTGCTTTAGCTGAGATATCGAAACTACTCTTACAATTCGTGACATCACACCAGCAAATGCCCATCTCGACGGGCGATCACCGTGATGTGGTTGTCACGGCGACACTGCAGTTGTTGGGAAACATATGCGTTGGATTCCGAGACGGCCGAGATAAGGTTTGGAGGAAGTTCTTTCCGCAGACTCTCAGGCAAGTTTTTTCCTGTGTTTCTCTTGTTGCCGTTTGTGTGTGTGTGTGAGAGGAATGGGGAAGACCAGCTTTCGTCAGGGAATTGTAGCTCAGTGCTTGGTGCATATTGTGGTCTTTGTCAGCATAGAAAGAAAGAGAATAGAAAGAGAGAGAGAAAGAACCAACTTCTACATTAAGTCCAGGCAGACATTGCAACCGTCTTTGAAAAGGCAAACACCAGCTTTTGTCAGGGAATAGTAGCTCAGTGCCCCTAGTGTACTGGACTCCCAGTCAGTATGTCTGAGTCGGACTCCTGGCAGAAGCCAGTTCTTTCTCTCATCTAGTCCGTGTGTATAAGTCCGATATCATCCAGAAATGTGCTGCTGATATTCCAAATAAAACCAATAAATAAAGGTATAAATGACTATATTATAGTGCCCACAAACGCAACTTTTTCAGAGGAGAAAGATGATGTGTTCTCTTTGTTTCAAAATATGTCCCTCTTTCTATATATCTTCCTGTTTAGATCGATTCTTCGTTCATTCGGCCAAGTCGAGATGGTATGCATGGTATTGCACAACTGTACCTGTACCGAAGATGCTAAAAATAGAACGTAAGTGATGACATCACCCCATAGAGTTCTTTACCAATATGATTTTTCAGTAATGATAATGATGTCATTATGTACTGTACCGAATGTAAGTGATGACATCACTCTATAGAGTTGTCTTAGATGATGTAATGATAATTATGTCATAATTATGTAATGCAGGAGAGAAATGGTCACATCTGAGGGGGGATTAGCCATATTATCACATATTGTTGGAGCACATGAGGAAAAGAACTGTGAATGGAGGTAATGATTAAATCTGGACACCAATTGGAGAGAAGAAAGTGTCCTTATTAGTGAGGTGTCCTCATTTCAGGGGTGTCCTTAGAGAGAGGTTCCACTATCATTGCTGTGTTTTTGTGTTAGGTCAATATTTCTGAGATCGTTTGTGGATCAGATGCCACTATCTGAGCTGCATCGTGTTCTGATTCCATTCCAGTATGGACTCTGGACAGCTCTCCTGGAGACTGCATGTCAACTAATGAACCATGACCAACAAAGTGAGGGTGAGATCCTCGGTCGTGCTTTTTTCGAATTCTACTTTCATTTTCGTGTCGTGATTGATTTTCAGTTGAAGTGGGTGGGGGGAAAGAGGCGTGGCCTCAGTGGGAGGAGGGGGAGTGTGTGTATCTGGTGGAGATGTGGAGAGGGGAAGTTGGGAAGGTGATGTCAGATCAGGCGGCCATTTTGATCGAGTGTTTTAACACTAGCTCAACGGAACAACTCTCTTCCACTGCAAAAATGAACGCAAGTCAATACATTATTATATTATTTTGCTGGTGGACTTATCTTACCAATGTAGGTTGGAGTTTTGACTTCAGTTTTGAAGCTGCTGTGCTGCCTTAGCATCAGGGAGCGTTACTTACATCTTCTGCAAACAAAAACTCAGACCTTAGACTCCGCTATAGGTACATATTAATTTTTGGGTTTCTGAAAAAGATGCAAACTCAACATTTTGGCTATAGCTAATTGGCTATTGTTAATGTTTTGTTGTGTCAATATAACATCGTTTATGTATAAACAGTGATGAACTCTTTGAAAATGAATTAACACGAACCTTTTGATTACGTGGCATGATCTGAGCCCCATTTAATTGCCTGATGACGGTAATTTTAGATACCTCATACTTAGACCCCCCGACCCCCTCATATGAGGGAACCAGGGGAGCAAAATTTAAACCCCCGAATGTAAATTAAGATTATGTCATTTTGAGTGTAAGTACATGGGTAGGTGTGTGATCTGTAGAAATTAATATTATTTCTGAATGCCACTCTGTGATATGAGATCACGTCACCTAATTGAACAATTTTCAAAAAGGTGTGATGTAATTGAACAATTGTTCAAAAGGTTCGTGTTAATTCATTTTTAAAGAGTTCATCACTGTTTATACGTAAACAAAGTTATGTGTATTGACACAACAAAACATTAACAATAGCCAAAACCTAATTGTTACGTACACTCAGTTGTGCTTGTGATGTTGAGCATAGCACACAGTTAAAGTACTATTAACCGAATGCATTATTACCTGAACAGCTAGAGTGGCGAGTGGCGTCTGGGTTTTCGACTTTTTAACGGAGAACAAACACATGCACTTTGCACCGATTGTGTCGCCTTTTTTGAAACCATACACACAGTATTGCTACATGTTTATTGTGGCGTCAGTAAAATTATGTTTGTTTTTCTGAAGACACTAGCGCCTTATTTATAACCAATTTCTCGACAAAAGAGTTAAAATTCAAAAACAATCTGTAGCCAAGAATGTCTTATGTGCACCTAGCATGTCTATTTCTTCTTTCTCTCTCTCTCCTTCTCTCCCTCTTCCTCTCTCTCTCCCTCTCTCCATAAAGAACTTCTACGACAGCTCTCAACACTCGATGGTTCCAACAACTCTACCAGACATCTCAGCAGTTTGAAAGAAAGTCGAAAAACGACAGAAATACGGAAAGAAGGGCCGCTTTTCGGAATGAAGAGGGACTTACTGCAGTTCATAGGCAGTTTATTGTACCACTGTCCTCATATGCAAGAGAGGGTAAGGGGAATATAGGAAAAGTGGTTTACACATAATTAATTAACCCTCGGCGCGCATGCGCAGCGAGGGTTACAGTAGTTGGGTTTGTGTGTGTGTCTGTCTGTCTGTCTGTTACTCGTCATCTCACTTCTCGAGTGTTCGTTCGTCTCACAAAGGATACCACCTACTGAACGGGCAATGAAGGTCAGAAATTTCGAACGGTTTTCGCTGAAAACGCTCCGTTGCAAAGCTACAGCGCGAAAAAGCCAATATGCAAATACACAACGGCTTACTACAGCATGATCGATCCGCGTGCTCTGCGTACCTCGGAGGCACCAGAAGATGCAACGCAGGGCGTGTATCGCCTCTCGCATGCTATCTAGTAGTGTAGTTAGCCCGCGTCAGACTCTGCGCGAGCTGGAAAGAGAGCTAAAAACTAAACCCAGCCCATCAATTAGTGGTACGGCGCATGCGTTTACTTACGCGTGCGCGTCACAGTGCGCCGAGGGTTTGCACTTCAGTGCTTTTCATTGCAACTATAACTTGGGCTTTTTGTAATACACCAACCATACAAACCATGTACAACATTGAGAACAAGACTAACAATACTAATATTGGAAAACAAGGCTAATGTTGACTAACATTGAAAACAAGGCTAATATTGAAAACAAGACTAACATTGAAAACAAGGCTAATATTGAAAGAACAAGACTAATATTTCGTATTCAATACTCTGTATGTGAGCACTTGTATGAAACAACGGATGTCGTATGGAATTTAGAGAATTTCATCAATTCGCTGCACCACAACTCCACTAGCCCATATTAAGGCATACGACCAACCGCCATACCAACGTGTAAATGTTCTTGTTTAGCGCATCAAAGCCGTCTTAATTGACAGTTGGAGAGTGTTTTCTCGCAGTTAAGACTATCGAGATGCTAAATCAACCTTTTGGTGAGGTATGATCACTTGGTCCAAAAACGCGGCAATGAAATGGAAGTGTTCGATTAGTTTCTTCCAAATTGAACCAAGTATGCCAGGAATGATCACTTACAAGTGCAACTCATCGAGATTTGTTTGTGCACACTGGTATCCCGCGTAGATACGGAGGCTCAGGACCAATTAGGGACATAGTCGAGATGCTTTGCGTCGTAATAACCCACGGCATTGCTAGGTAACAACTCAAAGTCGGTGCTGATCGTCCCGCTTCCCATATTATTGTGGAACAGTCGGAGAAAAAAGTCTCAGATTCTGAGCATACTTCTGCGGGAAAAGGTTTCAAATGGCGCATCCTCTCATGGTGGAAGCTTTGAAACACTTAATGTGTCTACAAACATGTTTCAAAGTATATATGCACGGTATACCAGACGAAGTATAGTCTTCGATAACAGCAGAATGTTTTTTTTATTTAAAAATGTATTCCCTCAAATTTTTACGCTCTATTGAGACACTATGCTGTGGTTTCTGCTGGGGGAAAAATTTTTTCCTCCATCCCAGATTCGAATGTTGGAGGCTATTCCACTCATTCTCAACCAATGCCACCTTGACCACGGCAACCCTTGTATCCTTAATATATTATACCTGTCCTTGTTAGGGTGTGTCCTCATTTTAGGGATGTGTCCTCATTTGAGGGATGTGTCCTCATTTGAGGGATGTGTCCTCATTTGAGGGGTGTGTCCTCATTTGAGGGATGTGTCCTCATTTGAGGGGTGTGTCCTCATTTGAGGGATGTGTCCTCATTTGAGGGGTGTGTCCTCATTTGAGGGATGTGTCCTCATTTGAGGTGTACGTGTGTCCTCATTTGAGGGATGTGTCCTCATTTGAGGGATGTGTCCTCATTTGAGGTGTACGTGTGTCCTCATTTGAGGGATGTGTCCTCATTTGAGGGGTGTGTCCTCATTTGAGGGATGTGTCCTCATTTGAGGGATGTGTCCTCATTTGAGGTGTACGTGTGTCCTCATTTGAGGGATGTGTCCTCATTTGAGGTGTACGTGTGTCCTCATTTGAGGGATGTGTCCTCATTTGAGGGATGTGTCCTCATTTGAGGTGTACGTGTGTCCTCATTTGAGGTGTACGTGTGTCCTCATTTGAGGGATGTGTCCTCATTTGAGGTGTATGTGTGTCCTCATTTGAGGGATGTGTCCTATTGAGGGGTGTGTCCTCATTTGAGGGATGTGTCCTCATTTGAGGGATGTGTCCTCATTTGAGGGGTACGTGTGTCCTCATTGAGGGATGTGTCCTCATTTGAGGTGTACGTGTGTCCTCATTTGAGGGAGGATGTGTCCTATTTGAGGGATGTGTCCTCATTTGAGGGTGTACGTGTGTCCTCATTTGAGGTGTAGTGTGTCCTCATTGAGGGATGTGTCCTCATTTGAGGGATGTGTCCTCATTTGAGGTGTCGTGTGTCTCATTTGAGGATGTGTCCTCATTTGAGGGATGTGTCCTCATTTGAGGGAGTGTGTCCTCATTTGAGGGGATGTGTCCTCATTGAGGGATGTGTCCTCATTTGAGGTGTACGTGTGTCCTCATTTGAGGGATGTGTCCTCATTTGAGGGATGTGTCCTCATTTGAGGGGTGTGTCCTCATTTGAGGGAGGTGTCCTCATTTGAGGGATGTGTCCTCATTTGAGGTGTGACTCATTGAGGTGTGTGCTCATTGAGGGATGTGTCCTCATTTGAGGGGTGTGCCTCATTGAGGGATTGTCTCAATTTGAGGGATGGTCTCATTTGAGGGATGTGTGTCCTCATTTGAGGGATGTACGTGTGGTCCTCATTTGAGGTGTATGTGTCCTCATTTGAGGGATGTGTCCTCATTTGAGGGGTGTGTCCTCATTTGAGGTGTGTCCTCATTGAGGGGTGTGGTCCTCATTTGAGGTGGTACGGTGTGTCTATTTGGTGTGTCCTCATTTGAGGGATGTGTCCTCATTTGAGGGATGTGTCCTCTTTGAGGTGTGTCCTCATTGAGGGTGTGTCCTCATTTGAGGGTTGTGTCCTCATTTGAGGGATGTGTCCTCATTTGAGGGGTGTTTGTCCTCATTTGGGGTGTGTTCCTCATTTGAGGTTTGTCCTCATGAGTGTGTCCTCATTTGATGGGTGTGTCCTCATTGAGGGGGTGGTGTCCTCATTGAGGGAGTCGTGTCCTCATTTGAGGGGTGTGTCCTCATTTGAGGGATGTGTCCTCATTGAGGGGGGTGTCCTCATTTGAGGGGTGTGTCCTCATTTGAGGGGTGTGTCCTCATTTGAGGGGTGTGTCCTCATTTGAGGGATGTGTCCTCATTTGAGGGATGTGTCCTCATTTGAGGGGTGTGTCCTCATTTGAGGGGTGTGTCCTCATTTGAGGGGTGTGTCCTCATTTGAGGGGTGTGTCCTCATTTGAGGGGTGTGTCCTCATTTGAGGGATGTGTCCTCATTTGAGGGGTGTGTCCTCATTTGAGGGGATGTTGTCCTCATTTGCAGGGGTGTGTGTCCTCATTTGAGGGTGTGTCCTCATTTGAGGGAGTGTCCTCATTTGAGGGGTGTGTCTCATTGAGGGTGTGTCCTCATTTGAGGGATGTGTCCTCATTTGAGGGGTGTGTCCTCATTTGAGGGGTGTGTCCTCATTTGAGGGGTGTCTCATGTGATTGGTGTCCTTAGAGGTGTGACCTCATTTCAGAGGTGTCCTTAGAGGTGTCCTAGAGGTGTGACCTCATTTCAGAGGTGTCCTTAGAGGTGTGACCTCATTTCAGAGGTGTCCTTAGAGAGTAATTCCACTGTATATACATTACTAGGGTGAATAGAGTAGTTGTATATTCTGCACGTATTTAGAATCACGTAGAACATAACTGTACGTATGAGCAGTGCCCGTCACGTATTATAATACAAATAATTCCGAGGAGGGGTCTTTAGAGAGAAGTTCCAGTATACATTACTATAACATTATATAATGTTGCAAAAATGTCCACATTGAAACACTAGAACGGCTTGTTTCGCTCGCAATTATATTATACTCAATGCTTATAATGGTACAGAGTGCTGATTCTAGGAATTAGGAACACAAAACTTCCAGCGAATACAAGTATAAGTATGAATAATATTACACAAGCTAAGATACAGATTTCCCAGCTGCAGTAATTAGGCACCCGTATTGATAAAAAGGAATACTGACTTAATAATGATAACGACACAAAGAATTGATGATTTTAGTGGCTTCTTGGTCACTGGGAGGGAACTAAACTTCATCGTTCCACATGTGTGAAATAACTACAAAGGTCCACCGAATAGCTTTATTCTAAAAGTAAACCTCGCTTTGAAGCTAAGGTATATACCATGTGGCTAATAAAGGGTTGAAGTTCCATGTGCTATATATATAGTCCCATGGTCTTTGAAGTGCTGGGGGGAGGTTAAATTTATTATACCGTGTGCCTTTGGAGGGGTTAAAGTTCTACTACTATGTGCTAGTCCCATGGTCTTTGAAGTGTTGAGGGGGGGATTAAACGTATTATACCATGTGAGTAAACTTGTCTTTGAAGTTCTACACGGGTTGAAAGGTCGTTGTGCTCTTTCTTTAGAAACTCTCTTTGAAGCTTAGCTAGCTGTTAAATATGATGACAGTATAATAATTATACGCTCATCTGACATAAGTGAGCTTAATGCTAAGGCTGCCGTTCCAAGTATTTAGAACACGGTTTATTTTCTTAATACTTGAGTAGATATATTGCAATGGGCTGTGTTGACTATACGCAATATGTGCGAGGATAACCCTGCCAATCAGGAGATGATTGCAAAGTTGGAGACTCGAGGGGTTGCCGAGGCAACGGCGGCCCAGTTCCGGCCCGGGTGCGAGGTTGAAGTAACTCAGAATGGAAGACTGAGAGTTAAACCCAAAACTTAAGTTCTCACGAAATTCTTCATTATGTGTTTGTGTGTATCATATTATGTGTGGGTATTAAATGCTCCAATTGTTGTCAAACTTCTTGATTGTTTATTTATGCAACCCTTCTTTGATGATTTCTATATACCAACTTGTTAAACACTACAACTCATTGGGGGCAACATGCATTAGAGACATAGCTATAGGAGGGAATGCCAAAAGACTTGTGCAAGTAATACCACGCAAGCTGGACCTACCTTGGTCGTGTGTATCAGAGCATGTAAAAATATTGTCGGTGTGTATTATTTTATGAACTGAGTTGGCACTAATGGTGGGAAGGAAGGCTGTAATTCATAAGGCATCCCAGTGCTATTTTGCCTGTCCGACCGGTAAAAATACCTAGGATTAGGCAAGTCTATGAGGAGTTGCCATGTCTGTGATGAGTTTTGAGTCTGTGATCCAGTTTTGTATCTAAAACCTTTTACTGACTCTAACGGAGCTGATTTTTTAATGAGCTATATCAAATGTGTATATAATGTGTGTGTCGACAATGAGGTAACGACGTAGAAAGGCAAGGCAAACCAAACGAGTCAACTACACCCAGGACAGCTCTTTTAAAAGAAGAGCTGTCCTGGGTAGGATTCGAACCTACGACACTCTGCAGTCTAGGCGAGGGCTCTACCAACTGAGCCACCATGGCAACTCAGCTCTCTACCAACTGAGCTACCATGGCAACTCAGCTCTCTACCAACTGAGCCACCATGGCAACTCAGCTCTCTACCAACTGAGCCACCATGGCAACTCAGCTCTCTACCAACTGAGCTACCAGGGCAACTCAGCTGGTAGGGGTTCGAATCTACAACAGAAAGACAAACCTCAAACATCTATATATGTACCTCTTCCTTGATCAACTATTATATATTATGGATATGTTTATTGCTCACAGCATTAATAAAACCACGTTCAAGCCTACTTAGCATTGCACTGTTATGTGTTTGAAAACTAAAGTTAGCTCTAGCGCCAAAACTTAGTGACACGTCACTCTCAGTGTGAGATTACTGAGGAGCATAGCCTAATAACTAACGAAATACGATCTTAAAGGTGTGCATGCTGGGGTAACAGTACGCAATTAGCACAAGGAACACATTAAAACATATTAACCAAGTTCACAAGAACAGAATAATTCATTATGCTATATTACTGATTACAATATTATGGCTTTGTAGTATACACATAGAGAAGTGCATGATTGGTTGTTTTCCATTTATGGTCAGACCTCCAACAGTTTATTGATAATATAGTGAAGAAATAACTGGATAAAATGATGCGGTAGATAAATAATTTATTGTCCCAACATTATATAATCTGATAAAGCACCAGTAGAGAGAATTGTGTTGTTGTCATGTAAAGTGACTTCTAACGTCTTTGGGTTGGTGGTGAATCTTCGTTTTGTGGCCTTCCGGTGCAAACGTATTCAGTGAAGATCTCTACACAAGTGTCGCATTTTAGATCGCAGCAAAACTCAAAGTAGCAGTTGCAAGATTGAGGGACGGTTTTCGTGGTGGCTTCATATCTCCCACTGCAGCAGAAATCCTCGCAGGGAGGGTAAAACTGCCGTAGTGTCGGGTCAGACGTCAAATTTGCCAGCGGGAGGCAATATCGGGACGTTGTGTACTCCGGGTCTGACTGACAGTGGTTGCTAGGCGTGGCCATGTAAATAAGTTCCGTTGCCGGGGGTTCCCCCTCGCCTTCTCGCGTTCGTTGCTCCAGCAGGAGCTTTATTCTCGATCCTTCGTACACGGTTACGACTTTTAGTGCTTCTTCCTGTTTCGTCTTCATGATGTCTCCGATTTCGAATATCGACGGCATGTGGGTTGTGCAGGTCTTCACCGTACACGATCCAGACACTCCGGAGCAAATGCACGTCGTCTGTCTGTTGTCGTGGACAACCTGATGTGAGGGGAACAAGCAATGAAACAACGATCACCGAAAATCGGAAGGCGAGAGTTTTAAAATTTTCATGAACGGCCACTATATGCAGTAAAGTAAACCTTTGTTGCAGAATTTCACCCTGTTTTGTCTTTTACAACTTTACGGGGTTTAGTTTTACTGCTTCTATTTTCTTGTGTGCACGTGTGCATAATTATATGCTTCGTTGTGTTTATCCTGTTTTACTATGCGATACTATACACATTTCACAAAGTGGTATCGATTCCAATTGGCAAAGGTAAGCTATTCCTTAGCATGACAGCTCCCCCTTCACTCATTGGCTTCTCAATACCTTAATTGGCCGACATAGGAAGCAGTTAACAGCTAACGCTCTATATCCTTCCTGCAACAGTTTGCACAACAAAAGGCAATGTGGATTGGTATGTCTCAGCCCTGCCAAGAGCATTTTAACACTTTATTATCCAATTATTATTAACCCCCTAGTGTCTGAATCTACAGAAGGACACCTGTACCACATCCAACATAGTCTTCTACTATGGTATAGGATCATAACACAGAGCATATTATAATATTATTAGGTATTAGTATGCTATGTGTGCTATAAATGCAGCATTGTGGCATGTGTGGCAATATTTTGGTAATCAGCCTTGCATTAGAAGCAGCACTATATTATATATACTCCAGTCTATGTAGCTACAACAAAAGCTATAGATTGTCTAGGGACACGCAGAAGACACAGCACATAGCCTCTTTGCCAGTATAGTTGAAATTTTTAGCTATATACCACTGCTGCAAAAAGCTGTGAATGTATGTATAAAATCACTGGCAAATCAACCATCCAGAATAACAGTGACACGGCTGCAATGCTGCTATATTGCACTCTACTTGTGCATCATAATAATATATAGAAAGAGTGTTAGCTATATGGCCTATTGCTTACTTGTCTTCCGGCACCGTTGTTATGAATTTGAAGCTGTGCTTGTATCTTTTCCCAATCGCTGCTGCTCTGATTGGTAAGGACCTGTAGAGGTCGGTCGTCTAGAAATCTCTGTGCAAATCTCTTCCCCACGGTGATGTTATAAGGGCTTATGACACTGTGTCCGTTAATGGTCCCCTGGTAGTGGTCTCTTCCGCAGTAGGTCCCCAGGTCATTATTGTAGCAAGCCTCAGTGATCTTGTACACGGTTATTGCTGAAGTCAGAGCGTGGACGAAAGCAGATTCGGGGTTGTCTGCGAGATCAGAAAAGAGAGAGAACAAAAATTGTATATACTGATGTATGATATAGCACTTCCTATGCTTTTGGCATGCATTCTGCGCAGGTTGGTGGTATTGTTTTTACTTTGTGTCCACTATTCTGCTAACATTAATACACAGAGCTCGCGCATTGCAATCCGCATTGCATTCCGTGATCCGCGGCAAACACGTACGCACGCCCCGACGCACCTTCCAGCTCCGTATTGACGTAGACCGGAGCCGTGACGCCCGTACAGTTCCACCTGCTCGTCTTGAACTGCCAACTGCACTCGTCCTCGAACGTTGCCATTGCGTCCGACAGTACGACCATAGCACGCGGTACCTCGAGACACATGTCGAGCTGCGTCGCCGTCAAATTCGGCGAGCTTCTGCAGATCAGCTCCGCTCCGAAGGTGCCCGCGAGTTTGAGGCAGCAGCACAAGAAAAACCTGTGAAATAATAATTCAATAAGTGGTCAATTGGTCGAAAAAGCAATGAAAACGCAAACTTACGAAAATCTTAGAAGTCGCGCAAACATAGCGCGCGTTGCGATCATTGGTAGCATTCGCGGCAGATTCTTCGCTGACTATTAGCACTTGCGGGTCTGGGCAGCCTTTTATAGCCATTAGCACTCCCTCTCCCGCGGAGGGAGTCCAGACAACAGCTGTGTTTACCGCTGAATCACTAAAGAATGCCGAAGTGATTTTCGCGCGTGTGCGGTACGCGTGCGCGCTGCGCTCGTCAGAGAAGCTTTAGCTGCACGCAAGGATCGCAACGGCAGTCCGGCGCAACGACGGCTCATTGCACACTCTGTCGAGATTTTGCTAGGTATGCGGCAGAAAAAAATATCGAATAAACAATGGGATGCGTATTGGGGGATGATTATGGGATGTAGCCAACTCACGCGAGGTCCCAACCTCTCACTGGAACTCGGAGACAGGCGACTAGTGCAGGTTGGAACAAGCCGCTTCTTCCCGCCGTCAACCGGATCTCCGCCATACGCATGTTTGCTAGTCTGCGGAAACCGGAAAAGCGTCTCAAACACGCTCGGTTGCATTCTGGGACTCTGCGCTGGAGCTTTTTATAAAATGTCGCTGAGAGCCGAGGGGGACCTCCTCAGGAGGAGGGCGTGTAAATTACAATCGACTTTCGCGGCGTATTGATGTGCGCATGCGCGTAAAGCTGCCCAGCGAAGAGTTGGATCACGCGATCTAGCTCCACCCCCTGTTTTTGCTGCTAGCTGGTGGTTTTCTGTCGGAGTCCTGGTTTGGTGCCGCTCCTGTTTCGGTAGGTAAAGATGGCGGCTGGTGTCTCGAGGGAGATTCACTCGCTGTCTCGTGTGGTAGCACTAGTGACTGGAGCCGCTTCTGGACTGGGGAGAGCAGTAGCAGCTCGGCTGGCAAGACAGGCACGTGACATCACGTGCAATTAGCTCAATGTTTGATTAATAATTGAGGTGGGTGGTTTGACCTTTTAATCACCAGGGGGCGTCTGTGGTTTTAGCAGACCTTCCCAGCTCAGCTGGGGATGCCATTGCTAGCGAACTGGGAGCTGCCACTACATTTGTGCCAGCAGATGTGAGTGTTTTTTTGTCCAAATCTTTGTTTATTACATCCATTGGGTCTCTGTTTTTGTAACGCAAGCGATGATTCTGTTCTACTTGCGTGCCCCCCTCCTTCTCCCTCCCTCCTTCTCCCCCCCTCCTTCTCCCTCCCTAAACACTGTTTGCATCACGCAAAAAAATCCCAATGTGCAGCTAAACTCAACTGCGGAAAATGCCCCATTAATATGGAATGAAGCTGCAAAACAGTATCCCTATAATTTCCATCCTTATCTCAAGTACAGGATCAAAGGAAAAGCTAGGTATGGAAAATGCTCTAGAAGTGTGCGCGTATGTCGTTTACCAGTCTTCGCGAAGCCAAGCATAGCTTCTAAAGACGTCTCACACGTGGACACTGCCGCACACAGACATGTGACTTTCGCCGACTTCTCTCTTTGAGACGAAAGCCTAAACTCTTCACGTTCAAACGACCACCTGACCCACCCCCTGGTTTCCATGGTGATTGTTTGGGTGAAAAGAGTGCTAGGAGGTGAGAAAAAAGCCACAGAAGTATTTTTTGTGTGTTTTTACAAGTTTTCCCTTTGGTGTAGAGGACTTGTGTGTTTAAACACGCGTGGTTCTTTCGTTTCAACAAGTCTTTTAAGTATTTTGTGACTATTCAAAAGAGAAAAAGAATCTTTCGTGTTTTGTCAGGGCCATTTTGTGGTCACTTGGGGACTTTGTATATACAACGTTAATTTTAACACGTCTTTGTTCCTTGTTTGCTGTACAAAGATGGAACCTCTCTCTCTAAGGACACCCTGAAATGAGGACACCTCTCTAAGGACACCCTGAAATGAGGACACCTCTCTAAGGACACCCCTGAAATGAGGACACCTCTCTAAGGACACCCTGAAATGAGGACACCTCTCTAAGGACACCCTGAAATGAGGACACCTCTCTAAGGACACCCTGAAATGAGGACACCTCTCTAAGGACACCCTGAAATGAAGACGCCTCTCTAAGGACACCCTGAAATGAGGACACCTCTCTAAGGACACCCTGAAATGAGGACACCTCTCTAAGGACACCCCTGAAATGAGGACACCTCTCTAATACCATTTCTTTCCAAATAGCGGCTCTTGCCATTCTAAGGACACCTCACTAATAAGGACACTTTTTCTATCCCATTGGATTTAACTGTGTGTAACAAAGGTCAATAATGACACAATTTGTAAAGTTGTGGTTTCTGATGAGCAAGGTACACATTCTACCCAATCAGCATAACCACTACATTGCCGTAAATAAAGCAACAAGATTAGCATTTGTGAATGCTCATTGGCTTGGTTTTATTCACAGGTTACCTCGGAAACGGATGTTCAGAATGCCATACAGGTTGCCGTGGAGAAATTCGGAGGACTAACAGCGGCTGTAAACTGTGCCGGGATAGGTATTGCGAAACGGACCGTCACCAAAAAGGGACCACACCCACTTAACGAGTTCGAAGGGGTGCTGCGAGTAAACACCATAGGGACGTTTAACGTAATCCGACTGGTCGCCACGGCGATGGCCGATAGAGAACCATACTCCGAGTCGGGAGAGAGAGGTAACCGTAGCAACCATAGTAACCACCTCTGAAAATTTATATTCTCAGTAAGATTTAGTGCTATTAGCTCATTCTATGCATGTGTCAACTACGATGTAGCAAGGCGAAGGCAAAGCCAAGTACAACTGAATGAATGAATGAATGATTGTTTACTCGGAAATGTTCCTACCAACCAGGAACCCCCCATTGTCGTGTGCAGGGGAGTTGTTAAACAAACACTCACAGGTTTTGGCGGTCCATGGGTTGCCGTGAAAACGACCTTCCTGAGGTTTCTTTTCCGAGAAAACGAGAACAAGGAATGGGCACGTCTTTTCCGTTTTCTTCTCACAGCGGCACAGACAGATGTACACACCCACGCTCTCAACTATGAAGCAACTACTGTTGCAGGAGCGCTAAAGCGATGCTAGCGTCCTTACACTGAAAAACTGGTTTGTCCGGCTCGTAAACCAGTTAAACCGGTTTAACCGGATCCTGTTGGCGATGTGACCTAATCAGAACAAATACACATACGTTGCGCACAGGGATATACTTTTCTTAAAGGCGATTAGCGCTTCTAAAAGCTGTATCCTCTAGTGATGCAACTTACAGTGAGAGAGGTGTCCTGATCTTAGCGTTCCATGGCAGCCTCGGCTTGTTAGTTTACATTGAACGTCCTCTGTAGCTGGTTGCTGTGGTAACGCCGACATCACACACTGAAACTAAGTGATGCATTGCGACTGATTACGTAATGGTTACAACATTTAGTTCTGCACAGGCATGCCAGTTTTCACTCCTTACATCACTTTTCCAGGAAAAAGCATTAATGTTGGCAATACAAAATATATCTGCAGAGTATAATGATGTACTGATCAAACCTCGGTGTGCATGCACAGCGAGGGTTACAGCACTTGGTCTGTGTGTGTGTGTGTGTCTGTCTGTGTGTCAGTCTGTTACCATGTTTCCTGCCACCACATGCAACAAACAGGTGAAACAACGATACCATAGCTAGTACAGTTGATATGGGCGCCAGTTTCATAAAAATGATAATAATGATAGTATAATGACTAGACTATGGATTACACGATGGATTCGCAACCAGTCACAACGATGCGTCTATCCTCTTACAACAAAAACTTAACAGTATCTTTATAATCATTGTCGCGTCAGTGTTTGTACTATTGGTTTGCTGTTTGTTTAAGCTAGAAAATTATTAATGACTCAAAACTCAGCAATTTTCAATTATTTGCCCCAATTTTTCTTCCCCCTACAGCAGAGTGTAATTTCCTCTCCTTGTCTCTCTTCTACAGGTGTCATAGTCAACACGGCGAGTGTTGCC